TCTTTCTGTTTTCTTATATATATATATATATATATATATATATATACACACAGGGCCGCCAACAGGGGGTAACAACCATAATGGTTGTCACTGGCCCGGCGGTCCTGGGGGGCCCGGACTGCTTTGGCAGTCCAGGGCCCCACAATTACTCTCTGCACATATATATAGCAATGATCGCTATATATATATGCAGTGCAGGTGCAGCCACGGGCCCCCGGCTCCCTGTACTTGCAGAGGGGGCCCAGCGGACTTACAAGCTCTACCCTCTCTGTAACTCCCGCGAGACCTGCGGCCGTCAGAGCGTTGCCACAGGTTACCATGGCAACGCTCCGCGCAGCACACACACACCGCTCGCGGGAGTTACAGAGAGGGAAGAGCTGCAAGTACAGGGGGCCGGGGGGGGCCACAATGCCACCGGGCCACAATGCCACCGGACCACCAGGGACCATGGAATCTCCCCCCCTCCCTGAACCAGGTAAGAACCAGGGAGGGGGGAATAACCTTTTTCACTTTTAAAGTTGGGGGGGAGGAATGCTCCATTTACACTACATGCATACACTACACTAACACACACACACACTCTGCATTCACTACACTGACACACACTCTGCATACACTACACTAACACACACTACACTAACACACACTCTGCATTCACTACACTGACACACTCTGCATTCACTACACTAACACACTCTGCATTCATTATACTGACACACACTCTCAGGGCCGGCGCTACCTGTTAGGCGGACTAGGCAGTCGCCTAGGGCGCCCCTTGGGAGGGGGCGCCGCCAGAAGCGCCGGCCCCGCTCATGCTGCAGTCGCCCGAGCGCTCTGTAGGGCGTCAATGAGGGCGGACCGCACCGCCCGGACGCAGCCTGAGGAGAGGGGCTGACAGGAAGAAAGCGCTCAGCGCTCCCTCCTGTCACTTCCTCCCTGTAGCATGGCCGAGCCTTGTATAGTCCGCAGGTACAGGGAGCATCTGTCTCCTGTACCCGGCCGGACTAATAGGAAGTACACACTGAGTGTGTACTTCCTGTTAGTCCAGCCGGGTACAGGAAACAAAAGCTCCCTGTACCCGCGGACCATACCATAGAGGGCTCGGCCACACTACAGGGAGGTAGGGGGAGAAATTGACATAGGGGGAGAAATTGACATGGGGAGAAATGGACATGGGGAAATGGACAGGAGGGAAATGGACGGGAGGGAAATTGACGGGAAGGGGAAATTGACAGGGGAATTGACAGGGGAGGAAAATTGACAGGGAGGAAAATTGATGACTGGGGAGGAAAGAAATTGACGAAGGGGAGGAAAGGAAATTGACAGGGGAGGGGGAAAGGAACCAGGCAGGGAGGGGGAAGAGGAGATTGACAGGGAGGGGAATTGATGGGGGAATGAGAGTGGGGAGGGGAGAAGAGAGTGACAATGGGGGAGAAGAGAGTGACAAAGGAGGGGGGAGAAGAGAGGGACAAGGGGGGGAGAAGAGAGGGACAAGGGAGGGAGAGGGGGGAGAAGAGATTGACATCCATCACACACACACACAATACACCCCTTACACACAAAGACAATGCACCCCTTGCACACAGAAAAACACACAATGCATTACACACACAGACACACACACACAAGCAATGCAACCCTTACACACAATGCATCCCTTACACACACAGAAACACACAATACATTCCTTACACACACTCAATGCACCCCTTACACACACTCAATGCACCCCTTACAGACGCACACACTGCATCCCGTACATACACAGAAACACACCTTGCAGCCCTTACACATACAAACACAGATTCACACAATGCATTCCTTACACACATATCCGGACAACCCCTACTCCACCCCCTGTGAACAAACTCATTGGTGGAACATGAAAGTGGACCCTGGGACCCAGACCTTGAGCTGTGTAAAGGGCCTTAAAAAAAATGGAGCTGCTTCCCATTCTCTCAGAACATTGATTTTTGTGACCACAGTTACAAACAGCCTCCAGGGAGCCTGTTCAACACCAGACCAGTGGAGCCAGACTGCAGCTAGAGCCCATCATCATCCTCATCTGGTTGTAAGTAGGCTATCTAGTATATTATTTTTGGCACTAATCTCTAGTCCCCAGAACCACTTCAGCTTAATGTAGTGGTTCTGGTGTCAATAGCCTGTCCCTGCAGGCCTTTTGATGTAAACACGGCGGCACTGCAGCACTGGCGTTAGTTAACATGGCAGATCATATGGGTGGGGCATTGTGATGTCACATGGGGGGGCGGCAAACTTTACTTTTGCCTAGGGCGGCAAAAATCCTTGAACCGGCCCTGCACACTCTGCATTCACTACACTGACATACACTCTGCATACACTACACTAACACACACTCTGCATTCATTACACTAACACACACTCTGCATACACTACACTAACACACACACACTCTGCATTCACTACACTAACACACACTCTGCATACATTACACTGACACACACTCTGCATTCACTACACTGACATACACTCTGCATTCACTACATTGACACACACTCTGCATTCACTACACTAACACACACTCTGCATTCACTACACTGACACACACTCTGCATACACTACGCTAACACACACACACTCTACATTCACTACACTAACACACTCTGCATTCACTACACTAACACACACTCTGCATACACTACACTTACACACACTCTGCATTCATTACACTAACACACACTCTGCACAGTGGCGTACTAAGGGGGGGGGGGCGGTCCGCCCGGGGTGCCAGCCGGGTGGGGGGTGCCATGACCAGCCCCGCCGGCCCCCCTCATGCTGCAGCCGCCCGAGCGCTCTGTACACTAAAACACACTCTGCATTAACTATACACACAGCATCCACTACACAAACACCCTGTATTCACAGTACACACACTACATCCACCACACATTCAAACACTCTGCATTCACTATACAGAGACACTGCATCCACTAAACACATTGCATCTAGTACACACAAACACTACATCCACTACTCAAACACACTCTGCATTCACTATACACACTGCATCCGCTACACAAACACACACTCTGCATTCACTGCACAAACAGTATCTAATAAACACAAACACTACATCCATTACACACATTCTAATTCACTTCCACTATACACACACCACATTCAGTCCTGCATCTTTTGCAGCAGACTAGGTAGGAGTCCTGTGGGCGGACTCGTGGGCGGGCCGGGCGGAGGGGGGGGGGCGGCCAAGACCTTGTGCTTTGTCAGGGGCCCCAAAATTTCTGGCGGCGGCCCTGTATATATATATATATATATATATATAAATACATACACAAGAATATATATATATATATATCCTAGAGTTTATTTTTAGGATTAACATTGTGATGTTTGAGATTTAGTGTTCTCGGAAGTCAGCTGTTTCTGTTTCCAGATGTGAAGGACTGATATGTCTTTTCTAACTTAAAAGATGGAAGGGGAAGGTGCGGCGTAAGATCAAGATTCTAGAGTTATATATAGAATATATACCGTATATTCTTCTTTCTGTGTTTTCCTGTGTCTACAGCCAAGTCCTATTAACAACATATAGAGATATATACTACACTCACCTAACTCTGATAGCTGGATATAGTGTTTACCATGTATGTATGATGACATATGCTGTGGGTTGAATGTGAGCAGGACAGGGGCCATATTTGAAAACTGAATATGAGAAATCTGAGGACGTATAACTGTTGTCAGGATAGGAGCCACAGAAAAGGAAATTAAGTGGTTGATATTAATTAAAATCTGCAGTAATAAAGTAGTACTAGTCACCATCATGGTTAAACACTAAACCTGGAATTGGCGGTCATTTACCAAGGAAGTGCGAAGTTTCGGTCTAATTAGGTTGCACTAGAAACACAGCCAAGTTGAGAATGTTTTTCCAATTTTGACCTCAAGTATTCAATACTTGGGCCAGTGAATTACCCTGTTAGAAAATAAAAAAAAAGCTGTGTATTCACTATACATGAAATTGTTGCAAATTAAAAGCATCTAATATTTAAAGTAGGCCGTAGTCATTGCTTGGCTCTTTCAGCCTAAATTTTACATTTCAGTTTTAATTCATTACAATTTAGTGTCTAGTGAATAAATCTCAGAGAGAATGTGTAGAGTGTGACAAATTCATGAGTCCCCCGTTGTTACACTACAACACTTGTTGTCCTCAGTCAATATATGGTCCCAATTCATGAAGAGAATGTGAAATAACAATAGACGGAATGCAAAGGAAAAGATCAGCAGTCTGAAGAGAGAGGTGGGGTGGGACAGAAGAAGATAATGAAAGACTAAGCAGGAAATGCCGTGATGGGAAACTAGGAATAGAAAAAAGGAAGTAATAAGGAAAAATAAATAAATAATTGCTTATTGAAAGAAATGTCGAAGAAACTGTTGGGCCTCTCTGTCTCCCACACGAGTAAGACCCTTGGACTAAAGGCTGAGTGGACTTTGGTCTCAGTTCCTTCCATCACTGCATTCCTGTGAGTAAAGACAATCCCTCGCACATGTTGACAAGGTCCACCAACATTCCACCAGACCTGTGGTGGGGAACTTTTGTCTGAGACTGGACACAGCCTCATGGCATCCCCACACAGCCTTTTAGTCCAATGATTCAGCTGGTGCTGAGGAGCATTTTCCTGAGAGGTATGGTCGTACGTTGTGGCCTTATATACTGAATCAGCCTACATAGTTACCAACCTGACACATGATCATTGGCTTTAAATAACCTAAACACAGTTAACTCCTTATCCGCAAACCAGGTCAATGCGATCCAAAGACACTTGACAGACAAAAATGCTGAAGAGCTATATATAACATATAGAGACAAATAATTTAATTTATTGTTTCAATCTTCAAAGTAGTCAAAAAAAATTTTATATATGCACAGTCACATTTCGGTGGGGGAAGAAGTTTTCCAAATGCAGCTGTTTTTGAAATGATTGTCACAACTTTGGTGAGATATTTTCCATGTCTCTTTTATTATACTGAAATTAGAAAAATATGATATGAGACTCGACTAAAGCATAATATTATTAATAGTATGTTGTTTGGGTGTTTTCTTACTGTTAGAAAAAAATATCCACAAATTGTACTGGCCAATCCTATGACGGCGCTTTCATTTACATTTTTAATAAATAAATAGTATGATTATTGAAATTCTTGGTATTCTGTACAAACATTTTATTTTACATAATACAAAATATTTTCAAGATTGATTTAGGGCCAGGATACATACCACTTCATTGTGAGCTATGCAGTCCATGAAAAGTGCTCCCCTGCAGGAGGAAAATTAATTAATCAATCAATCAATCAATCGAAGGGGTGTCTCAAAGTAGTCTTTTCTCTTCTGAAGAATATGAATGCTACACAGGTTAACATTGTACATTGACATGCACCAAGGAAAACAAGGGGGTTCTATCAGACCTAGCTATAATCCCACTGAATCTATTTATTTATATATATTTATATTTGTTTTTTTAAATGTTATAATTCAGATTTCTAACAGGAAAAAAAAAATAAACTGACATTATGCTACATTTTCCCCTATTGTTTTTTAACTGAATGCACAAACAAATAACTTTAAATACACTTTTCACTAACCATCCATCAATAAAGCATGCATTAATTAATATTCCTCAAACTCTCCATTCCGCTTGGGCTATTTTAAGCTCTCTTTTCCTAAGTCTTTAATGAAACATATGTTAGGATGCATGTTAGGGGGAGGGTTACATAGACAAGCAGGTGCAACCAGACACACTAAAAATACACACCAGGCCGAAGGCAGCTGAGTAGCGATAATTAACTCTTTCTGAAACAGAAAAGCGGGTTTAACTCCTTCCTAGCCAAGTCAGAAATGACATTGCTATATACTGGCCAAGAAGGGTACAGGTCTGTACTTTTGAGAAATGCTGATCAGCAAGAATTATGAGATTCCCCTATTAACCCATCACATAATTGAACAAATTTGTAACTGTAGTCAATTTAAACCATACTTGGCCCTTTGCCCTATGCAGTTACACACAACTATTTTGAAAGGTGGAAAGGTTTAAATTTCATGCCTTGCAGTCTTGGACACATTCAGCTTTAACGGAAGACATGCATTTGAGACAGCGTGTCTCTTTCTAAATGTTTCCGTTTTATCAACGTGAATAGTTTCCAGATAAATCTTTTGGTTCCGACTGTCTGTCAGTCTTACTCATTCCGCGGAACTGTTGGTGGCCTTTTCTGTGTCCCCAATCTATTAGTGCGTACAATTAAGTAAACTGAGAAATCAAAGTGTTAGTTGACGGGATTATGCAAGGCTGGGCGACGAAGTCCTCTTGGGTGGAGTCGTGGTTGGTTGATGGGTTTGCCAAATCGACCATTTAATACCCTGTGAATTCCATAGTACAAGTGCTTCACAACAAAATGTAAAATTAGTTCATGTCTGGAATTAATCGCAATGATTCTTATTTGATCCAAACCCTGATTGATAAATACCTACAGCGGAATGGTGTTTGTCCTATCCTGACCTAATAAATCATATTCTTTTAGTATTAACTCTGTACACCACAGCGGAGGATAGAATAGCAGTGAGAGAAAGGCTACCTTGTATCTGAATATCAGAGAATTTAGTCGGCTTAGAGGGGATCCATTGTTAAGTCATAACTGGATGGGGCTTTTTTTTTTTTTTTAAACACCAGCTCTCTACTTCATACTTGTTTGCAACACATTTCTATTGCTTAAAGAAATTAATCAACTGCTTGTTGTCCGCATAACTTGGTCTTGGAAGTCTGATCAAGACTTTGATGCAGCATAGTAATCATATTCTTCCATTTTTCACCTGATAACAATTTCAAATGCACTACCTACATTATAATGCAGTTGTTCATTATAGCATGATGAAAAATTTGCAGGGACCTGTCCCTCACTACCACCTGGAAGATCTTGTTTTCAGAGTCTCGAGTCACCAAATCTATCTGGTGATAAATATATTTAATAATTGAAAAGTTGTTTTTTTTTGACGGCCAATGATGTTTGTATGTTTTCAGTGGATTGGACTATTAAGTCTACCACGTTTGTAGTATATTAAAATAAACTTATTAAACCATACTTAGTTTAGTAATACTTCTCATTGTAATATATAGCATTTACTGTTTACTGCAAAATTGTTTTCTCATTAGTATATGATAAATGAATGTTGATATATAAATAAATATATATATATATATATATATACAGGGTGACCAAAAAGTAGGTATTCAGTTGATACAACTCTACTAATACTGATATAACGACTAGTGCTATTTCCTGTTCTGGCAGTGCCACGTCATTGCGGCAACCCATTGCCCTCACTTTATGGGGTCACCGGGGTGATGTGAACCAATCAGTGTCCATCTCAGTGTTAAAATAAGGGTTTAGCCTCATTGACATTGCCCTGTTGTCAGTGGCGGAACTACTGCGGTCGCAACTGCAACCGGGCCTGTCACTCTGGGGGACAGGCTGCTCTGCGGACCCCTGCGACCGCATTGCTTGCAGCCATTTGTTGCCGCCCCGGCCAGCACGGTAGATCCGCCGGGGCTGCACGTTAAGGGGCCCATTGGGTGGTCCAAATAAATATATATATATATATATATATATATACAGGGTGACCAAAAAGTAGGTATTCAGTTGATACAACTGAATCAATGAAATTCATTACAATAGATTAAATTAGTACACGTACACACTGACACACAACAATGTGACAGTTAAATTTCGGGCATTTAAATATCAGTGTGAAAGTTTCAAAGAATAGTTGAGTACTGATAAAATGATTTTCTTTACTCTACTACATACCTACTTTTGTGTCACCTTGTATATATGATAATTTTAATTTAAAAAATACTTTAGAGCTTCTTCTTTATGTAATGTAGACAGCTGTGTTGAGTCCTCACGAAAGGTGTGTGATCCACAAAGCTATTTATTCACATAGGGTAATCTGCACCAATTCAGAAGTAATACTGATGATTGATGCTACCGAACCTTCCCCCTTATCTTCAAATGATTAGGAACCCCATCTGACTAAATCCAAAAAAAAAAAGGCATGAATACCCACCAAACTGTCCCACAATAAGGTCAACTAGTTCAGGATTTGCTATGGAATGACATCCATTTTATTGTAATTTCACTTATGAAAAACAGGGGAGCAAAAATCCCCCATAATATCTCTAAACATCTGTCGCAAAATACTTACCCAATTGACATGCTGCTCCGCCTTTCCTGAGCATGCCATGCGTGGTGTTTGGGAAGTACCGCTTCCTGGTTCATATTTGCCTTTCCGATAAATACATGTATTCGGACTTCCCGAATGTTACTATCGGGAGGCAAAAGCTCTTGGCTGCCTAATAGAGAGACACTTGCGTTTCCCCTCTACTCATACTAATATAACGCCAAGTGCCATTTCCTGTTCTGGCAGTGCCACGTCATTACGGCATCCCATTCCCTTAACTTTATGGGGTCACCGGGATGATGTGAACCAATCAGTGTCCATCTCAGTATTTAAATATAGGTTTAGCCTCATTGACATTGCCCTGTTGTCAGTGGCAGAACTACCGCATTCACAGGGGTCGCAGCTACGGGCCTGTCACTTCTGGCCAGCGCGGTAGAACCACGGGGGCCGCACGTTAAGGGGCCCATCGGGTGGTCCATGCTGTTAGGGCCACCCGATGGAAATGTATTTAACAGCACGACCGGGTTCCCTGTGATGACATCACAGCTGGGAGGAAGTGACTATCCCGGTCCCTTCCTCCCAGCAACCACCGGGAGCCGCGTGGGTGGAAGGAAGACGGAGTCAGAGTGGGAATTCTGACTCCCACCAGGCTGAGCCACCACTGGACCCCAGGGAAGTCACCCTCCTGCTTCTAAAAATTATGAAAAAGGAAGGTCACGAAAACATTTTGTATATGTGTGTGTTTGTGTATGTGTGTCTGTTTATGTGTGTGTGTTTGTATTTATGTGTGTTAATTTTGTTGACTAACAATTTTAGTCAGATTTAGTGGTCTAAAACTAGACTAAAACAATTCAGATGACTAAAATACGACTAAAACTAACATGGCATTTTAGTCAAAAGACTATGACTAAAACTAAATTGAAATTTGCTGCCAAAATTAACCATGCACAGAGGGGCTGTGGAAAGGGTAAAAGGGACAGGTAGAGGCTTTAACTAAACCCATTAGATTTTAGTTGTGTTGACTGAAGATTTAGTCGACTAAAACTAAAACAATTCAGATGACTAAAATACGACTAAAACTAAAATGGCTTTTTAGTCAAAAGACTATGACTAAAACTAAATTAAAGTTAACACTGGATCTTTCTAAGGTCCACATCCTTTATGTCTTCATATTCCTGACCTATACTTGTAAGTTGGGTAGTGTACTCTTGACAATTTGGGTGAATTCAGAGTTTGAGATATGAACTCCTATATTTGTTACATAATTTTGAAATGTTTTCCTTATATTTTGGCAGACACAACAGATTGTAATTTTTAAATTTGTGGCTCATCTCCAAACTTCCTTGTGCTGAGCCGATAACTGAAATGCTTCTAGGGGTCCACACCCTGTTATGCACGTACCCACTATAAAATATTAAAGTTCAATTTACAGAGCATGAGATAAAAACATATAAATTAAACACACTGTGTTGTAAGATGTGACTGTATTTTTTTTTCATGGAGGATGTGTGTGTCATAGCCAGTGGAGTTGAGGCTAGGGCTACATGAACAACGTGGTTTAATTCCTAAATGGCAGAAAATTGAGCAGTGAGACTTCAGGGACATGATCTGTACACCAAAACCACTTTATAATGCTAAAGTTGTTTGGTGATGAGTATACCTTTAAAAAAATAATTTCATTATGTTATCAGCTGTACTTGTTTATAGTAATTAGCAAAAACCTTCACGACACCATAATGCAGAATATAGCAACAGGGTATCAGAGCTCCAGCTCTTAAAAAACAAAACAAAAAAAAAACAATAGTATTTGTAGTTCATTTAACAGGCATGAAAGGCAAACACCTGCATTGAGAAAATGCATGCAATACGTTGTGGTTGGTGTAGTCGCTTTCTGTCAGCATTGAAGTGGGCCAATGACCCATGGATTTTTGCAGGCTAATTGGGTTGTTATGACTTAGACAAGCACTTTATCTTTACAAGTAATCCCCCTTGATATCTACAACAACCTTTGGCAGATGGTTGCTTTATCACACAGCCAAAATACTCCATAAGGCTGAGCATTCGTGCCACGCGCGATCATCACTGCTATATTTTAACATTAACCTCACTAATGTACACAGTAACATTTTCTTGTTGCTGCCCATATTTCAATATTACCTTAGTTACACAGGGATAGTGTTATACTTATATATTAGAGCTTTACTATACAAGACATGAAGAGCGAGCGAGTATCTTAATTGTAAAGAGGCACTGTCACAGTCTGGGGAGTTTGCAGAATTCGCAAAGACCACTGTTGGGTGACATCATCCGCTGGTGGTCTGGTGGCCAGGGGGGCAGGTAAAGGTGAGATTTATTACCTGGACCTGTGACTCGTGGTGGCGGCCATCTTCCTCCAGCCGGTCCTCTTCAGCGTGAGCCAACAACCTTGATGTACTCTAGAGCATGTGCGAGAGTACAGCATTGAGGTCCATGGAAGATCCCGTGGTCATAGACAGAGACAATGCCGTGCAGCCCTTACTGGTGACGGATGTCGGGATTGACACTTTATCTCCATGCAGTGTCTAAGAAAGTCAGGCAGAGGAAATATCCAGAGACAAAGTCAATATTATAATATAATATATAAAGTAATATTATATTTAAATATACAGAGACAAAGTCAATAATATAACATAATATATAAAATAATATTATTTATCAATATACAGAGACAAAGTCATTATAATATAATATATAAAGTAATATTATATTTAAATATACAGAGACAAAGTCAATATTATAATATAATATATAAAATAATATATATAAATATACAGAGGCAAAGGCAATAATATAACATGATATATAAAATAATATTGTATATAAATATACAGAGACAAAGACAATAGTCCCTAATTTTTATATGTATATCTATTTTGGGTTGGTATTTCAATTAAATTCCTCAATGAAATTTCAACACAGTCAAAATGAGTATTTCATAAAGATTCTATCTTTATAAAGTATGTAGGATTTATATGCTGCAAGGATGATGATTGATCACCTGGTGTACTACCTGCAGCATTTCTAGTATATATACACAAAACTTGTTGCCCATCAATTAGTATAATTAATGTGTGAAAACATGGTGTATATGGCATCCATATATAATAGGGATCTTATAATATGATTTCTGGAGTATTTTCTAAATTAAATAAAAGCACTTATTTCTTGAAAACTCTACTTCATGTAGGCTGCTACAGTTTGAGTTAATAAATCCACTTCAGTAAAAGCTTTCAACAAGTCTAAATTTAGAGGGTCTGATAGGGTCTTTTAAGGCAATGAAAGAAATTTTCCCGGCACTCAAGGTGTTAAAGCCGCAGGCAGTTTTAATGAAACAAAAAAGAGAGCAGCAACGTTTCGACCTGCTAAGAGGTCTTTGTCAAACTAATAGGGTCTTTTAGGCACAAACTGAGGCTTCTCTGCTTATCTGCTATAGCATACAAGCTCACATATCACTGATAAACTTCTACAAAATGGTTGAAAGAAACAACATAGAAACACGAGACAGTAGAATGCAAAAAGTGAGCAACAAAAAAAGGATGCACAATGTTAAAGTAACACACACACACCCCCCGGAATGTTTCAAACTGGTGTATCATTCCTAAGGTTAGGTATTTTGTGTTAGGTGGTTAGATTTAGAGCTATATAGCACTGTGACTCTCCTTGTTGTAGCCCTAAGAATTTCCCCATGTAATGAAAACTGTTACTTCAAAGGATTTGTAAGATGTTCACTTATCCCTATATTTAAAAAATATGTACTTGGGTGTTGTGAAAAAAAAAGACTAAAGAGAAATGTTGAAATAGAAAGAGCCAGATGACCCATAAGACATAGCAGGTGGCCGCCTAGAGCCCAGGCTCAGACAAGAGCCCTCCTTAAAGGACCACTATAGGCACCCAGACCACTTCAGCTTAATGAAGTGGTCTGGGTGCCAGGTGCATCTAGGATTAACCCTTTCTGCTGTCTCATTGACAGCCACTAGAGGCGCTTCCGCGCTTCTCACTGTGATTTTCACAGTGAGAAGACGCCAGCATCCATAGGAAAGCATTGAGAATGCTTTCCTATGGACTGGCTGAAATTCCTCCCCCTTCAGCGCCATGGGAGTGGGACCCTGAGGGTGGGGGCACCCTCAGGGCACTATAGTGCCAGGTAAACGAGTATGTTTTCCTGGCACTATAGTGGTCCTTTAAGCAGACAAAGAAATCAAAAATTGCTAGGCCCTGAACTTATTCACTTCATTGAGAGAGCCTTGCGGTCTGCACCTAAATTGGTTGCAGACCACTTTAAGAGCTCCCTCAGAGTCCCCTGGAACTTCTCATCGATTCTGAGCACTGCAGCCTGTTCTCTGAGTCATTGAATGAGCTTGGGGTGCCTCCATCTTAGCTCCCTTTCAATCATTGCTATAAACTCTGTGTTTTACACCTGGCGGTCAGCCAAGTAAAAGCAGACAGAGAAGAAGATAAACAAAACAATGTTTCTATTTCTCCTTTTCATTTGCAGTGTTTGCCCTGGCTTCGCCTTGTCTGAACTGGATTATGTTGTAATTTGTTAAATCGTTAATACAAAAGTTAAAGAAAATGGAGTATTTCATGAAAAAAAATGTCAATGTTTCATTCAATGGAGTAAGGTCTGTCGAAGTGGCAGTTCCCCATTAAAACACTATGGCGCTGTTACCCTCCTAGCGATAGCATTGTTACTCTCCAATATATAAAGTTATGTGACTTTCATTGTGTCCTCTCAACCTCCCGCACACTCTAGTTCTCTGGATTCCAATGAAAGATTTGAGAGTTAAGACAAACAAAAGGGGATACATTCTCACTTTACAAATCATTTCTCTGGAAATGACCTTTATTTGGTAAAATTTTATTTTAATAAAATAAAAAGAATAAAGTATAACAGTTTCTATAGCTAATCTAACTAGGCAGCCTAGCCTAGCAGCGTCCTTTACCCAAGAATCAACGAGCTGTCTCTAACAAGGCTCTGGTTAATTTCTCACTCAGATACTCCACACAGAGATTTAGTAAAGTGACACACCTCCGTTATTACAACAACAACACTGGTTCGAAAGCACAACACCATAAACAGCAATCAAATAATTCTAAACCGTACAAAATCCACTCCGTTCAGAAACAGTTTTTCCACACAAACCATTCTTTAGTGATTTCCTCAACAACCAGGAAAAGGTTGAGACTTGACCTGGACCTCATATCGGTTCCTATGTTTCCCATAAACCCACCAGCGCACATTGTTTTCATTGTTATTTTATTATATCTCTATGACTGGTATTATATATACTTATCACTGATTGTGATTAAACAGGGGTTTATGGGAAGCAGACATCTGCAAATCTGTTGAGAGGCCAATCATTTCCAGTAGGATGGGGACTATATATGGTAGTTACAGGGTGATTTTGCATGTTTCCTAAAAACATGAAACCAAAATCAGGTAAAAATAGAGAATGTGTCTTGCACCAGTTGTGTCTGAAATATCCTTTTAAATATAAAAATAAGCTTCCTTCCTCCTGTGGTCACAGTGTATTTAGATTATCGGCGTGGTATCTGTAGCAGTGTGCTGACACGTAGCTCAAAAATCCAAATGGCAGCAATATATATAGTTTTTCATCATTAGTGTAACAATCTTTAACAATCTGTATAGGGTGAATCCAAGCACCATCACCACTAAAGTGATTTGAAGTGGTTATGGTGCCTGAAGTCTAAATTTGCAGTGTGTCATCAGCCTGCCTGGAATTACAGTTTTGCATTAGTCGATGTTAGTTCTGATTCTCTCAGCAAATGAATGGCAACGGACACGGATTCCAGCTACTGCGGATATGCAGGAGCCAGAAATGAGTCGAGGAACCACAAGGGAGCCCCAAGCCTGATAGGGACCCAGGTAAGGGGGCAAACAGTTGCTACACGGTTCTTCTCGTTACAAGGGAACTGGGCCAGAATACCCCTGGTATCATAACCATTACAGCAAGCAATAGCGGTTATGATGATTGGAGTAACCTTTTAAACAAGTCATTGGCCCACATATTAATATTTTTTTACTGCACTCAATAGTAATATATGCTTATTTGTTATGTACAAAAAGAAACATTCCATAAGAATCCTATAGATTCTAAACAACTTTTCATTTAAAGGGGAACGTTCACTACTGACATTCTAGCACAACCCAATATCTCACTAAATAGCTTTTTCATGGGTTATGCTTCTATATTCTTAACATTCTCAGATTTTTTCTTTATTTTATTTAAAAGTCATACTGGGCATGCCAAGTTCATTTATCTCCCACAGTGCTTATACAGTATTTTTGAGCAGATGACTGAGCGAGCATGAGTAGGACGTTGGCGTGATTGGGCAGTGACGTCATCCTAAACATGGAAGTGAAGAGGAGCTAAGTATGTTTGTACTTACTTAACAGCATTATTTTCTCCAGTGTTATGGTAGTATTTACTGGAGTGAGAGAACAAGAACAGTCGCTTCAAAAAGGTGAGAGATCCATTTTAAACCTAGAGAGATTAGTAACATTGATAAAGGTACAAAATGAACTTACTTGACAAAATGATAGATGGCAAAACTCATAATGTTCTTTTAGATGCACAAACAGAACATTTGGACATAGTTTTCAGTGCAGTTTGATGAGATTGTTTTGATCATAGGAGAATGCATTTATACAGCAAAACGCATCTACCGTCACTTTCTCAAATCGCTTACCAAGGCAGGTGAATTTAAAGTGACAGCTTCTATTTCCTGGCTTTATCTTTGCTTTCAATATATGAATGTACAAGGCACATAAACAGTGGTAGCACTTCTATCTGCATACATTAAGGTGTATCTGTGCACAATGCATTATGGGCCACACGGGTGGCATTGTTGGGTACATGTACATGAATATGTGCTATACATGCCTGTACGTTTATTGTTCGGTTATATATTGAGTTTTAACGTTACAATCAGTTTCACTAGCGAATGTATAGATAGTTAAAATTTCCATTCATGCAGCGCTTTTCTTGCTGTCTGTGGATAACAGATGTCATTTAAAGGCATACAAAATGAAAACTGCCAAAGGAAGATCAAATAGTGTGTGATATACTAGATATCTTTACCTCTGTTGAGGTAATGTTAAGCCCTCTGGGTAGGAAAGCTGGGATTGTTACTTCCTTACTCTCATAACCAAACATTCCGTGACATCACGCATGCGCAGAACCATTGAGGTCAGTCACAGAGAATCATTGCATGCAATGACTCTCAATTACTACTTCAGAATCATAGGCGTACTGTGGCGAGTGAAACACATGCACCTACGGTCCCCAATGCTCCTCTATTAGATATGCCTCCAGGATGACAACATGCGAGGAGGAGGCAGCGCCGAGGGAGACTACATGCTGGAGAGAAGGTGATTAAATTATTTCATTGCTGGTGCACAGAGGGGGTAGCTCTGAAACAAGGGACATTAAAGGACCACTATAGGCACCCAGACCACTTCAGCTCAATTAAGTGGTCTGGGTGCCGGGTCCCTCTAGTGTTAACCCTGCAGCTAAAAACATAGCAGTTTCAGGGAAACTGCTATGTTTCACTGAGGGTTAATCCAGCCTCTAGTGACGGTCTCACTGACAGATTGATTGCTTCTACGTTTTCTACATGCACGACAAAATAAAGAATTAAAAATAATAATAAAATACAATATGGTTCTATGGTTCTAGTATTGTGTAGACAGTGTTCCCTCATTTCTGAGGTGCATGGTGTTATTTACTAGATTTTGTCCAGATAAAAAAAAAAATCTTGTGAAAAGATTCACAAACCACTGGGTGTAAAGGAACACTATAGGGTCAGGAATACAAAAGTGTATCCCTGACTCTATAGTGTTAGCAAAACGTGTTAGGTGGCCAACCCCCTCCTGCCCTCCCCTCTATATAAGTCTAAATTGTACCTTTATTCCAACGCTGTGCTGGTCTGCCGGCACTAGCTCCGCTCCCGATCTGTCTCCTTGGCAGACAATCCAATGCTTTCCTATGTCACTTAAAAGACAATGTTTACATTAAAAAGCCTGCAGGGACTGACTATAGACACCAGAACCACTACACAACCACCAGAACCGAATTATTACTTGAATAAAATTCGGAATCGAATGCATCCAGCAGGATGCACATTCGTAAATTATCATTCACTTTCCTTTCATGTGATGATCATTTTAAATATTTTAAGTACTATTTGCCCTCAACAAACCTTGAGGCTCGAGCATTCTTGGCAATTCACATTTTAGTAAATAACCGTACAATGGACATTTTTAAAATCTATGAAGAAGGCAGTGGTCGTCCATGCATTACTTATTATTTAGGGCAAGGGTTTCCATTTCCAATTAATTTTTCCCCGTGTAACGCTTTGACATATGGAATCAACATTGTGGAACTCCCTCCCCCGCACTCGGAAAAGAAAAATGGTGCTGTTTTATTGTATGTGATGCTGTGTGTTTCTGTGTGTCAATGTGTATCTGTGTGTGTGTGTGTGTGTGTGTGTGTGTATGGATCTGACAAACAGACACACACACACACACACACACACTAGCACATAGTGGCACACAGATACACACACATTGACACACAGGGTGTATCTGTGTGTGTGTGTGTGTGTGTGTGTATGTATCTGTGTGTCAAAGTGTGTGTATCTGTGTTTGTATGTCTGTGTATCAAGGTGTGTGTATCTGTGTTTGTATGTGCCAATGTGTATGAATCTGACACACATATACACACACACTGGCACATTGTGGCACACAGATACACACACAGTGTGTATCTGTGTGTGTGTATGTATCTGTGTGTTAAGGTGTGTATCTATGTGTCAAAGTGTGTATCTCTGTGTCAGTGTGTATCTGTGTGTGTATATTTATCTGACACACAGATAATATACACACACTGGCACATAGTGGCACTCGGATACACACTGACACACAGATACACACACTCAGATACACATACACACACTCAGATGCACACAGTGACACATACACACATCTTGACTCACAAATACACACACACTCAGATACACACAGTGACATATACACACACTGGCACATACATACACTCAGATACACATATTGACACATACACACAGTGTCATACACACACAAACTGACATATACACTGGCACATACACACACACATACTGACATACACACACACACACTCAGATACACACAGTGACACACTCAGACACAAATACTCTATGACAGACACACATACAGTCTTACTGACAAACACATATACTTTTTAACAGACACACATACACGCTCACTGACAAACTCACATACTCTTTGACAGACACACATATACTCTCACTGACAAACACATATACACTCTCACTGACAAACACATATACACTCTCACTGACAAGCACACACTCTCACTGACAAACACATATACACTCACACACTCACTGACAAGCACACACTCTCACTGACAAACACACATATACTCTTTGACAGACACACAAACACATACAAACTCTCTAACAGGCACACATACAATTTATTATTTTGTTTTAATTTTTTTTTTTTTTTTTGACAATCTTTATTTTGACTTTTAGCATCGGTACAGTGTGTCGATTCTTGAACAGAGTAAGGTACAAAATATCAACGTATAGGAGGTATAACATCCAACAGGATAGAAACAGAACATGCACACAACAAACCACGGGGTTGTTTTAATTTTACGCCCTACCTTTGGGAGTGCTACCATGGAGTCTCTATGTCCCTGTGGTCCAGTGGGGCTGCTGAGCTGAGTGTGCGGTCCCTGTGGTCCAGTGGGGCTGCTGAGCTGAGCGTGCGGTCCATGTGGTCCAGTGGGGCTGCTGAGCTGAGCGTGCGGTCCCTGGGGTCCAGTGGGGCTGCTGAGTGGCTGGCGTGCGAGCGGCGAGGGAGCAGTGATCTAGCTGCTCAGCTACCTCGCACGCCTTTTAGTGATGCCAGAGTGACGTCATATTCCAGCTCCAGGATCACTGCTGTGCACGCGAGTGAGCTGAGCAGGGAGATCACTGCCCACTGCTCCCTTGCTGCCTGTGGCCATTTTCTTTTTAGAAGTTTTGGCGGAACCCCACTTGTGCTAGCTGTTTACTTACCGCTCCCCCCTTGTGAAGTAAAAAGCCGTACTTAACTTTTCCTGATTATCTCATCCAACCCATTGCTTTGTCATAGGAAAATATTGAGAGGCTAGTGCGCATGCACAGCAAATCGTTACTCTGCACCATTTAAATGTTGCTCATGGGGTTTCACTCAGTTCTCACAGGAGAAGCATCTCCAGTAGCTTCAGTAAGACAGCCACTAGTGGATCTAACACTGCAAAACTGCAATGTTTTACATTGCAGGGTTAAAACCAAAGGCCAAAAGGCCATTGCACCCAGGCCACTTCATGGAGGTGAAATGAAAATAAAATATTTTTGGTTTCAACATTTGGACAGTTTTTTTGACCCTGAAAATGACAGGTACCCCCAAAACACACACAAAAAACCTAACTAATATTACTTTACCATTTCTCCAAATTCTCTCTTGCTGCAGCTCTGCTCCTACCCGGGAATACGATCATTGACAACTGTATATCTTCCTATCTGGAGAAAATTGCAGCAAATGTGCCCGTCAACTGTGTTGATTGTCCAATCGTTTATTTTATATAGGGAAGCATAAGATTACTGTTTTCCTGTGGAAGCTATAACACTTTGTTCAAGCATAGTAAATCAGGAAACCTCCCTTGCTGTCAGATTGACTGCCAAGGGGTGTTCCTAAATTTATTCATAAAAAATAAGATTTCTCTTGAAATCAGCCATTTTTTGAACTGGGGCAAAGAAAACATCCAGTTAACCCCTAGTGGACTTCAGCAAGCTGAATTGCTTTAGAGGTGTGCAGTGTCCCTTAAATCCCTCCCCCCTCCTTCTTCTGCCAATCCTCAATCAAATTCTTCACAATTCCCAGTATAGTGAATAAACCATTGTGAGTTTAAATGACAATACATATACAAACTGAAAACTCGACGAAACAGCAGTAAGACAGATATATTGATCAGGGAGAATATAAATAACATGTTGTTATAAAGTAGCAGACATCAATATTATTCCCTAAATATTGAATTGGGATAAATATAAAAGGCACTTTGTATTTGCTAACATAGAGGCAGTGTAGTTAAAATACATAGTGGCACTCATAGAGTTACTGTTTGTTTTTTTTATCTTAAAAACAAAGCAGTGTTACTGTGTACAATTCTCATTATTAATCAATAGCCTCCTGGCAAAATGTTGCTTGAAGAAGTTACCCAGAGACGTCCCATAGAAGACAGGACCCTCCTCCCTCCCCTTCCAGCTACATGCCATGAGGTTTAGAAATAGGAACACACACTCTCTCTGCATTGCCCCCCTCCTCCTCCTGTATCCCCCCTACACCTCCCCATCTATGCCTCTGCCCATCTAACCCCTTATATAGTCAAATGCAGTCAAATGGTCTGCTGCAGCGAATAGAATGAGCCATCCTTAAAAAAAGCCAGCGCTGGGAGAGAAAGGCAAGGTTCCCAAAAAAGTATTGGGTGTCCTCAGGAATTTATCTGCCTCCCCCCTTGCCCTTCCCTGGTACATATTTGTGAGGCTGGAACAGCTGAGAGTTTGCACTCCAGCCCAGGGCTCAGACTAAGAAGGACTTGGACCCCTCTCTCAGACCCTGTCTCCTCTGTCCCGTTCTCTGTGGTCACTGTAACCCCCAACCAAACCAGCAGCCATGGACGCCATCAAGAAGAAGATGCAAATGCTCAAGTTGGACAAGGAGAATGCCTTGGACAGAGCAGAACAGGCTGAAGCCGACAAGAAGGGAGCAGAGGACAAAAGCAAACAGGTCTGATTGGGAAAAATATACACACCCCTTTTTTTTTGCTTTCACAAGATTTACAGACCCCCCAAAAATATTACCATAGAATCTGGCTGACATCACTGCCAGTGGAGGGCTTTGGATATACCCCTGGCCAGCTTTTAAACCCTCAAGAATAGAACTGTTTCTTTTTGGTGATAAAAAAAACTGAGTGCATTATACTCAGTGCTGGAGAGGGTTAAAACATTGCTCTTTAAACTTGTACTTAGAGAGAGGTTACAGCTGGAAACAAAAACAAACCTCCAGGTCCTATTCAGCCAGCATGTACTTAATAAAATGTGTCCACCTGTGGAAGGAGGGATAGTCATATTTCATTGCTGGGCTTTTCTTACTGCTGTATATGGGCATCTGCCAGGTCTGAGAAATCACAGGATTCCTTTCTTCTCCTATGTCAGTTGCTGATATTGGCAAAATTCCAGAATGTTTGTACCTAAGTTAACTGCTTCGCTGCCAAAGTAGCTCAAAGTGCTACATATACATAGTTATAATGCCTGTACGGAATCATGTGCTACATACATGTATGTCAAATTCTGTGATTACTGTGTGTGTTTGTGTGTATATATATATATATATATATATATATATATATATGCACACACATACATACATACTTGCACACACAAATTCATATTTCTGTATATAAATTATGTACACTAGTATACATACAGCTATACACACACACACACACACACATATAAAGACAGCATATCTATATACGGTTCTTCTTCAATATTAATTGACTTCTTGCTTACAATCTATACTGCTATAATCTATATCATATAAATGCATTGCAAGACTATAAATGCATAAAAGATTAATCCCAATCAATCACATACGTGAAAAGCTCTATGTTGTAATAAATAGAATGCACACAGACATATGTACGTATGTATATAGATTCTATATTGTTTTTCTTCTTGGCTATTTGGAAACCTCTTAGTTAGAGGAAGAGATTGCCCAAATGGAAAAGGAGTTGCGGGTTACGGAGGATACCAGAGATAAGATTTTGGATGACCTCCATCAGGCTGAAGAAAGTCTCCTAGCCGCTGAGGAGAAGGCGGCTAAGGTATGAGTCTACACCAGTGAGAACTATCTAACTTTTGTCTCCTTTTTTTTCTCTCTCTCTCTCCCTCTCTCTCCCTCCCTCTCTTCCTGTCCTGTCCTGTCTCTGTACACCTCTGTTGCCTGCCGCCTTGCATTACCACCCCATGCTCCATCCACCCATTACCCCACCACCCCTATGGTACCTATCCCACCCTGCCTTAGCTGGAGGATGAACTTGTAGCACTCCAGAAGAAACTAAAAGGTACAGAAGATGAGCTGGACAAATACTCTGAAGCCCTGAAAGATGCCCAGGAGAAGTTGGAACTGGCAGAGAAGAAGGCCACTGATGTAAGTTGAGGCCATTAGACTCCCTGCCGCCCCATTATTACACTATGGCTCTGCACCCGCTCAATGCAAACATTCTTCCTATGGAGCACTGCATGTATCACACGGGGATATGGGAGATGTTCACCAGACCTTTGTAAGAGGACATCTTTCCTAAAATTGGATGGGTTTGAGAGGAAAGAAATTTGGAATGGTGTCCTGAAACCTAAAGAGTGTAAATGGCTTATAAACATAACATAAGGTGACAAAAAGTTATAGTTACTTTAAACTGGTATTTTATATATATATATATATATATATATATATACGCACCACACTATATACTGTAACCATTTTGAATTCCAAAAGGGTGAGGAATGCAGTAGAAATTAAAGCATCCCCCATCATCCACTATGATTTAACCTTTCTGCTGTCATAGAGGCAGGTAGCAAAGGATTTCCTTTTGAATTGCTTGTCTCCCTGACAGTTCAAAGAGTGCATCCAATGCATTAAGCACACCACTGGCACTTAAAGGGTAAATCCTGAGGCCTACGAGAACAGTTAAGAATACATAATAGTTTTTTTTCCATTTCTTGTACCGGACTAGTTTAGAGGATAACTATTCTTGATTTTTATTTTCGTTTTAAAAAGAAAGTTCAGTCCTTTCTTCAAAATAAAGAAAAACATTATTTTTTGTAGAGGAAGAATCCATTCATTCTACAATGTTGAGTAGGGTTGTCTCCGATAGTTTTTCTTGGGGAACATTCACTTGAAACTAAAGGTCTGTGGGGTTTGTACACTAAACAGTTAATTGGGTGAACCAAAACCAAGTTTTGCAAAGGCTGTAATAAACTACAGTGCAAAAAAACTCCAACTGAGTTCTATTCTCAGCTTTTTTAATTGTGGCCTATATTTCCCTCATTTCACTTCTAGTGAAAACCCCACAGTATTCAGGGCCTATTCAGAGTGCACGGCCTGACTATAATACAATTTCCACAGCTCGTGCATTCTGTGTAGACACCGCATTAGAGATTAAATCCATTATATTGGTCAACATTTTTACTTTTTATTTCTGTAAATCTCTTTGGAAACTAAACCCACTGATAATGTAGCAAATACTTTGAATTCTCTTTAAAATTACGCACATAGTAAAATGGTTAGTGAGTGTTCTAAGAATGGAGGAAATAATACTGTCTTATTATATTCTGAAATAATTTTACATAAGCAACATACACATGGCAAACATATTGAATTAACTGTGGAATTGGGCATTTTAGGCCAAAAATCGCTGAACTGGAGAGTTTCCCATTTCAACTTTTGCAATTTATTCACTAAAGTGAGAATTATTGGGAATTCAAAATAAATTTAAAGTGGCTCTGTCCACTCAAACTTACCTTTCTTCAATTGTTTCCTTTTTTTCTTCCTCTTTCAGAATCTGTTCTTTTTGTTTCTTAATTTTGCATCTATTTCTCTTCAATTTTCTACGCTTGACAATCTTGATGAAGGATGGCGCTTAAGGCATAAGGCAAGCTCCACTTCCTTTGTCGAGATACTGGAGCTTGACTTAAGCTCCACCCTTTGTCAAGATTTGTCAAGCGTAGGAAATATAAATAAGACAAAGTACTCTCTACTTTGTCTTATGTTTTAAAGAGAAATAGATCAGAAATTAAGAAAAAAAAGAGCAGATTCTGAGAGAGGAAGAGAAGAGGAAACAATAGGAGAAATGTAAGTTTAGGGTGACATAGCCACTTTAAGTTAAAAACAGTCAAACTGGATGTTATGCTTCAGTTCAGCCAGTTTTGCCTTAAATGTAAAATTCACTTTGAATTCCTGACTATTTTCCCTTTAGTGAATAACCCTATATTTTCCCCTAGAATGTGCAATTCTCACATATGTCTCCGTAATTGCCCATTTAGTTAATAAAGACAGTGATAAAATGGTTTAAAGATTAATTCACTGAAATAATGTTACTATTAAATGATGTAATAGGACGTACATAGCCCCCATTTTTTTTTTGATCAGCTCCTTAAGGTGTGTACCCAGGACGGGAGCTGACCTCCGCAAATATTAGTTCATGAGATCACAAAGACATAAGTCTTTGTCAGTGACAGAACCTGGTTAATTTTTGCAATGACCTCTTTCTCTCTGGCTCTGACACTTGTGCCAAGGAGAAATCTTTATTCCTTATAGCAGAGCAAGGAGGAAAATGATACTTGCTGTTCCCGCAGAGTTCAGAGATAGAAACACGTTGGGGTTATATATAACTCCACGCTTTATATGGTATACACTCAAGACATTCTGTCTCAGCTGTCCAGCCCTTGTCAAAAACTAAACAACTATTTTATGGGTTGGACCTTATACAATCCACAGAACTACAAAGATCCCTGCAAGCTCTCTTATTAAGGCTAATTTTATCTTCAACACCAGGCATAGAGAGCACAATTCTAGCCAGATGGAAGGCTACTATAGGATTTAGATTAACTTAATGTTGAACTTTCTACTACCAATCAAATAAGAAAATTGTACATATTTATATAAGAAAATGTTTTGGGTTTATTTTTTTTTTTAAATGATATAAGTAGATTGATCAATCAGCTAAATATATAGAACATATAACTATAGACTGATATGTAATGTGTGTAGCTAGACAGACACGCACACGCAGCACACACACATTGCTATGTTTAAATTCCTTTCATCTGAAACTTAAAAAAAAAAAAAAAATTAAACTGTTATGGATGAAAATGTTAAACAGATGAAATACCTTTAGATAGGCAAAAAAAAAAAAAAAAAAGAATAAAATGTGTTATGTATTAGCTGTACAATGTTAAACAAGGTCAGTAGAAGAACTCTGAATAATATCCGTATTGTGAGTGTGGTATAGGAGTGTGGGCTCGAAGGTATGGTACAATGGAAACATTTTGTATTGAGGAATGAAAGAGGCTGCATATGGAATTCAGACAGATATTCCTTATAAGGAAAAGTATGTTGACTATTTAGAAATCGCTCCCCATGCAAAACCCAGACAGGGAAAGTAGATTTCATTCGGAAGTTTAAACTGGGAACAGTTATCACTGTTTGCTTAATGTCAAGAGCATGTGAAGACGTGTCTTAATGAATTGGTTAATTATAGGAAAGCCAAGGGCTAGACTAGGCAATAGATTGAATAAGGTATTCAATAGCCACAGTTCAGTCTTTGCCAAATATAACTAGGAAGTTAAATGTGTAATAATTAGTGCATGGGATTTGGCACTGACTTAACATGTACGTTGTTTATTTAAGTGTAATATGTTTACAGAATATTATATAATCATTTCCTCGTGATCCTCTTTATTTTTTTACTAACATTAGAGTGTTATGGATTGTATAAATTTAGATGAAAGTTAATTGTTTAGTATAGTATACTTTTAAAACAATTAAACAATACAGTTAAATATCCCCAAAATATGTATTTATTCATATATATGTCATTATTAATAATAAATATATAAATATGCAGTGTCTTACAAACTTTAAGCAAAACTTTTTTTTATGCAGTTGTTTTCGGTTGTAAATTTACTATAATTTAGTGTACTAACAAGGTGGTCATACTAATATAAATATATATTAGTATGGCCACCTAGTTTAATCTATTATATATATATATATATACATATATATATATATATATATAAAAGTTTAAAAATCATCCCAAATACGTTGGCTAATTTTTTTACCTCAGTAATTTTGAACTAACCCGACCGGGCTATACACTAAAGTGAAAACATGGCTTTTAGTTTCCAATTTGGATATTGCGGCCTGAAATCTTAAATGCAATTTAAATTGTCTTTGAGTCCCTAACCGATCCACCCTGTTCTGTGGATGTTTACATTAACCCATTGTTTCTCAGACACGCCCCGATAGTTTATTTCAAATCGGTCTCTTTCCACATAGAATTTAAAACTTATTTTGTTTGTTCAGTGATGTTCCACTGACTCACAGGCAGTTACTGGATTAGAACCAACAGCTGAAAACTGCAACTTCTACATGGTTCTTTATATAGAATATGCCCAATGTACTATTTTTACAGACTCACATTACTGCAGCTGTCAAACGAATGAACGAGTGTGAGCTCTCTTGCTAAAACTCAATTTTCATTCACATACAGTATGCACACCCATGAACAGCAATCCACATAGCACACAACATGACATATAGTCACCATACAACACTTAAGATAATATTTCACAAAACAGTGAGTTGTGTTCAGTGGGCAACCAGCATGCACAATTTTGACCAAAATAATCGAACTGAGGGGGATTGGGGGGGGGGGAGACAATTCGGCTGAGACAGATGCAATCTATACAGTCTCTTGCTGGTGAAGGAAGAAGCAACTGTAGCACAAATGTAACTCATAACATGCGCTGCATAATGTGTTTTAAACTTACAGGTTAGTTACTAGACAATTAATTATAGAGAAACTAAAAAAATTATAGGGAGCCTTGGAACCAAACTGGAAACATTCCCTGCTTGGCTAATTTGGCCTAAAATGTATATGCTGTACACAACCTCTGCTTGATTAGCATTCCGCATTGTACAGCGCTACGGAATCTGATGGCGCTATATAAATAATATAATAATAATAACTAGAGAAATATAGTATATACTACTAATATAATAATAGCATGTAACAACCATGGTATATAAGTGCATGTAATGAAGAATACACATTTTACTTTAAGCCTTTCCATATACATATTTGTTGTATTAGCATGATGGGAGTTGTAGTACACAGCAAGTAAATTGCCTGACAGGGGCTATCACTGTTCTTTCTTTTTTATTTTTAATTACCTACATGTGTAACCGTATATCATGTAGCATATATTACTATTACCTGCTGGTATCAGGATACTAATATTTGAGAAGCACAGTGAACAGGATGAATAATGTTGAACTATTATCACTGAATATTATATAAAAGTATACTGTATCCTGCCTTAACCTTAGATTTGTACCTTTTATACTGTTGCTAGCATTAGCTTGAATAGTCAGGGTTAGTCACTAAATTCCAAACAGTAGTCCAAATGACACCATTTATAGAAAAATCGCCAGAATGTACAAAATATATAAAACAGTAGAGGTGAGTAATTTCTCCAAATAATATTTTGTCTAAATTTTGCCATTCGGATTTCAGTTCTCTTCAGTTCAGTTTCTATTTTATAACCCCCTGACTAACTTTTCAAATAATAGCATTTAATCAGTGTACCACGGTGAAATGACAATCAAATTGCAAGATTATGGGCCCCATTCTTTGGACAGAAAAACAACAATATTCTAACTGCTGTTTTACCCCAAATATTGCAATTCTGTCGTCAATTCCCCACAGTTCTTACTAACTCAGCTATTTTAACCCAAATATTGCAATCCTGTCGTCAATTCCGCACAGTTCACCATTTAGTTAATAAAGCCTAATATATAATAGTTCAGATAGCTATTGAGTGAAATAGATTATGCCGTCTAATTCTCTGCTTAACCTGTTCACAAGCAGATAAAGTAGGGAAACCTAATTTGCTTGTGAATAGGTTAAGTATCAGACAATCAGATGGAATTACAGTATGTATGCTGACTTGCTACTATTTCAGGATCTAGTAATTACTTGCGTCCATTCCAAACCATCTGGTGCTGTACGTCTGCCTCTCGAAACTTGGCATCAAGAGGCAAGTCCAACCTGGGCATGTGTGCTCTTTTGTCAAAATGGCTGGGTTGTCAAGCCCTTTATAAGCCAGACCACTTATCTCTTTAGTACAGTGCCCGCTCACACATATACTCAAAAGTACTACAATTAAACCCTATTACATACTTTGCTTCAAATCGATACATCAATCATCCAGTCACAAAGGTTTTCTCAACTATGTTAAAACAAGGACATGCCTGCACAAGCATAATTAATTAGGGAAAGTTAAAAAATATAGATATTTGAGCCTTGGAATGAACAGATATTATTTTATTTCATGCCAATATTCTCTCCCCCTTCAAATCCCTAGTTACAGTACATTAATTGAGCAGTGACTAGCTCCCTCTATAGGAAAAAAGACACACTACAAACACGTTGGAATCCGTTATTATTCAAAGTGGCACTAAGTGAAGTTAGCATTGATATTAGAATTGGCTGTTTAAAGAAAATGCATGTTGTTGGTTTTGTGTTGCTTTATAATTAGTAATTCACAAAAAGTATGAATTTTTGGAAATGCAAAGAAACTTTAGATTTAGGACAGAAATTATCTAAAATTAGTAAAAAAAAAAAAAAAAACTCGTCCGGACACAGTTTGACTGTTCTGGCCTACATTTTTAAAACTCATTTTGAATTAATTTCTGACTTTTCACACTTAAATAAATATTATTGTTTATAAAAAAAAAAAAAGGAGATGGTAAATTAATGGAATTATTATTATGTTTAGATGGATAATCCAAGTGAATTAAATTACCCATTTGTAAAACATTTTTTTAAGGATTATTCAAGTGTGATTTATCAAGAAATCAAAGTGAATTTAAAATTTTAGTCCAAGATTGCTCAACTAGAAACATAGCTGACTTGAAGAAGTTTTCAAGTTTGGCCGTTTTGCCCCGAAATTCCAAATTCTCTTTGAATTTAAAAGCAATTCTCAACAATTCATGTTTTACAAGGTTATTCACCAAAATGAGGATTGCCAGGAATTTAAAATGTAGGCCAAAAATAGACAAATTGGTTTCCAAACCAATTATGTTTTCCAGTTCGGTTATTTTCACCTTAAAATTTAAATTCACTTTGAATACAGTTGGAATTTTAACTTGAGTGGATAATCCTGCCAGTATTTAGATTCTACTGCACATGTTTATAAATGTATTAAATATTTGTCAAACATACAAATCTTTTTTAGTTTACAGAACAAAGATTGGTAAATATATACAACGTTCACATTTCAAAGGCTCTAGCATACTTTTGCAAAGACAAATTGCAAAGTTTACGTTTTAGATTAGCGTGACATTTCAAACATACATAAAGCTAGCAATAACAAATTCAATAGCCTTACAGCTGTTTAACATAATATTGACTGGGTACTATTGGTGTATTTGAACACTACAGTCAGTTTATTTGAAAGACACGCTAAACATACTGTAATGAGAAACCTGAAGTCTTTGCGATGATGTTGTAATTTACAGTGTCCTGGATGTGAAGCTATGGCATGTCTTCCAGAGTTAAGGTTCCAGTTTTTTGGATTATCAACTTTCAGACCTATTTAAAGGGACACTACAGTCACCAGAACAAATGCAACTTAATGTCGTTGTTCTCGTGTGTATAACTTCTCCCTGTAGGCATTGTATTGTAAACACTGCCTTTGTGTTAACCGTGCTGCCTTGTAACATCTCTCGTGGCCATCACTTAGATGGCCACTGGAGGTGCTTCCTGGATCAGTGCTACGCAATGTGCAGCACTGATGTTCCGCAAAAGCACTGAGTGGTTCTCATAGAGAAGCATTTATTCAATGCATCTCTATGAGGAAATGCTGATTGGCTCAGCCCGGCATTATGCCATGCATGCGCAATAGCCTCCCAATGCTTTTCTATGGGAACTTTTGATGATCTCAGCCAGGAGGCAGAGTGGGGGCAGAGCCAGCCACAAAGGACCCACACAGCGCTGGAATAAAGGTAGGTAAAATAACCTTTTAAATTGCTTACAGGGGGCCAGTGGTCTAAACTGTGTTTTCAGTTTTGGGACAAGAATACGTTTGTATTCCTGTCACTATAGTGTCCCTTTAACCATTCCATATCTGTACTGTGTAATCGTAGATGAGCACACTGACCATTGACACTTGCTTCATTTAGAGTGGTTGGAATTTGCTGATTAATGCAGAATTATTTCATTTAACAAATAGCCATTTGTTGACTTTTAATTTACACCACGATTTACCTGTGTTTTGTCAATTACAATTATTTCTATAGCGTCAGCATATTCAACAGTGCTGTACAATAAGTAAACAAAACAAACAATATATTCCAAAATAACATGATTGACATACTGGAATGCTTTGGAATATGTTGATACATTTATTGATTTAGGTCCCTACAAATCTAACATTGTGTGTGAGGACTTTAATATTTTAACCTTAACTAAACATTATCTATTGTTTAAAGCCATTAGAGTATTAAACCAATCCCAGGGCATAAAATTGCTAATAATGGAATAATATTAAAAAAAATAATGGAATATTGGTATATTGCCACTTTATAAATTAAAAATTAAATAACGACTCTGTTTTGAGAATATCACTATAACTCTATTTATTTAAAATTAATATATATATATATATATATATATATATATATATATATAATAAACACAGCAAAAAATATATAATACACACAGCAAAAAAAATTAAATTGTAGTGATACTTGTTTATATACTAGTAAAGAAAATGGTTAACTCAATCTCTCAAACTGCCACCAGGTGGCTGTAATGTTACAATGTACCTGGTTAAGGAAGCCCAAGCCACATTGTCATATGTTTGAGGTGTGGCCAGGTCTTAGTGGGGGTTTAGGTAGTCTTCCCCCTGCCCCAGCCATACCGTGTGATGAGTGTAGTGTGAGAGCAGGCAGTCAGTGCTGTGCAGCTTCGAGCCCTGTGGCTGTCCTCTAATTACAGGATTACAGGGTTAATTGGAGGGGAGGGGGCCTATGTAAGGAGGAGACTTCCTGTATGTGAGCTGAGCAAGTCACGGTGAAAGCAGTAAGAGAGAGATAGGAAGGGGAAGCCCTGATCTCTCAGGGTTTGTAGAAGATCAGAGTGAGAGTGATACATTGTAACAAGCAGGAGGAAGTAACATTCTGTGAGTAATGGCCGGGATGACTTCTCTGGAGGCCGTGAGGAGGAAGATTAAGTGCCTGCAGGACCAGGCTGATGCTGCAGAGGAAAGGGCAGAGAGGCTGCAGAGGGAGCGGGACGTGGAGAGGAAACTCAGAGAAACAGTAAGAGTAGAGCTGGGCTTTCTGCCCCTATTAACCCCGCTTCTTATTAATTACCCACGGTCCTCTGTTGCTCTGGCCAGGTCCTGATCCAAACCACTCTCCTCCCTCCCCCACTTGGATAACCTTATGGATTATGTTTTCTTAATTTCACCCCCTGGCTGTGCACCCCCCTTGGCCCACACAGGATATGGCAGTATTGTGCCATCCTTGGAACTGTTTGCTCTCTCAAGTAGCTGATGGTATCAGACACAGTTACACAAGAGCAGCAGGGGGTGTGCAATATGAGCCTCCCAGTTGGTTCTGGGTCAGTAGTTTGGTCCTTTTGGGGCTGATGGTGGTAGTTTTAGTGGGGACAAGTTTAAAAAAAAAAAAACCTATATAAGCAGACTCTTAAAGGGTGTTGGCATTGTAGGAGTGGCTAGAAGCCAAGATGCCAAGCTGGCATTTCATATTGGGAGTTGCAGTCCCTCAGCTGACCATTTACCTTTTTGGTCACTCCTGGTCTGGAAGCTCTGTGTGGCCTTGTCACATATTCCCTCTCCCCAACCCCTCAATTACTTTCTCACAAGCTGCTTATGTACTGTAACTTTTTTCATTTACTCCCATACCAAATCTACAAACTTTCTGTACCTAGAAGGTTTATGGCTAAGCCGGATTGGAGAGTAGGATAAGTGTTGCTGAACTGTACAGAATGTGGGGCGGAGTGTGACCTGTGATTCTGACCTCTCACCCCGTCATCAATTCACAGATTATTTATTTCTGTGTGTGTCCATAGATATTTGTATTTTTGCTTCTATTAAAATATGTTTAGGAGCATAGTAATTAGACTAAAGAAATTACTTTTTTTGTGATTCTGTCTCAAGTGCAGTAAAACTGGCAGTTTTTAACTGATACATGGGTAGACCAGTTGTATTTCGAATTTTGGGGCCTAGGTAGCAGAAATGAAAACGTAAACTAGGAAGACATGGCTTTTATGGTAGCATCCAACTTGCGTTCAGTTCAGGGTGTATTCGCTACCTAACATACTGTGCTAAATAAATGGTCAAATCGTATTCAATGTGCAACAATTCAAAGGAGTTTCTATTCTTCAAACACAGAATAAATGGCAATTCATACTTTACTGAAACACCCAATGTGAGCTGGAATTAGCTGTGGTTTTGCAGAGCCTTGTTTCACTTTGTGTTTTGTTTAGTTAATCGTTTGTCAGAACCCTATTAAAATGTACCAACCTTAGTTTTAAGCCAAGAGGCGATGACCTTTTATCTCCTGTACGTAATGTACAACATACTATTTTATGTACATACTGTTCACTAAAACAGTGTGACGGACCTCAGCATTCAGCTTTAATGTCTTTGCCAAGGGTCCCTCCCTTTTAATGCTGGATACTTGGAGTGATTCTAGCTCTCACTCAAACACTAGCCAAGACTTGGTGTAGGGTGAATGAGAACTGGTTTATTGGGAACAAGGCACACATTTTATACACCCGACCCAACGGCTTGAACAATGTAAATCCCATCCTGGCATCTCAGCGTCTGGGAGATAACTAGTTCAGTACCTGCTAAGCTAATTATCCCCCAGACACAATATACCCCAAAACATACAAAGTGAGACAAATAACCCCCTTATATCCCCAGTAGCTCTCCCCTTTCGCCTTCTTCAGTAAAGAGTGCTCTTGTGGCACTCATGGTGTTGACTCACTGCACAGTTAAAGTCTTGACTGCTAGGAGACTGTCACCGGTTGGGTTGGCATGAGTTGGTGAAGGATGGGGGAAACCAGGGAGCGTGACTTCAGTGAGAAGTTAGGGTGAATGTATCTTGCAATTGCTTTTTGGATTTAAACGGGAAAGGAAAGGAAAAGAGGTGGGTGGGGGAGAGGAAAAAAAAAAAAAAAGTGTTTTTGTATTGAAATGTATGTAACCTTGGTTGTTGATTTACCCAGAAGCATGTTTTTTTAAACTAGTTTGTTTTACTTATGTTTGGTGTGTGTACATGCCCCATTCAGGGTAGTTTGTATCCAGGCATTGAAGGGAGGGGTGTGGGTTGTGAATGTGTAGTAGAATTCCAAGCATGCAAAAGGGTTCATCTGGTTTGGGAGGAGTTAACCGTTTCAGGCCTCAATGGATAACCTGTCATGGGGAAAAAGCAAAGTATCTGGTGCAGTGCACGTAAAATGGCCTGTGCTCCTTATTTTCTGTTCGTATACAGAGCTATCTAACTACATGGGTTTTTATTTTCAGAAAGCAGTAACTGGACCAATTCTCTGAACTGAATACAAAATATCATCATATTTAAGCTGGCCAAGCTGAGGCAACTGTTGATCTGGAAAAATGTTTCCAAATTGGCTTATTGCCTAAATTTTGCAATCCTGCTTACAATTTGATGATTCATAAACCACAAATGTATTTTTATTTTTTTTTTTAATGAAATTTAGTTTTTTACATATGTTTATGTTGTACAGGGGTTTAAGGTGAAGTACAATATGGTTATATGCATTTTCTTTTAAAGACAGATGTGGAAGGTAAATCTATGTTTTTCTTCTTAGTTTTGTGACCTCTTTGGCATAGAGGCAAGGGTGCAGCCATTTTGATTTTCTTTCATGCAAACTACAAGGTGACTTTTGTTTAATGATACTGCTTATAAAGCAGTGTGTTAACTTGGATATCATATTTTATTCCCTTATAATGTTTGATAAGCGGTGCTTTGTCAGAAAGCAAATACAAGATGGCTGCTTCTTGGAACTTTTATTTTGCTCTGGGTGTTTTTTTTATTTTATTTTTTTATCTCTTATCAAAGGAATAAACTTTTAAAAGCAGGTGCTATCAGTACACAGGACTTTTAAATTTTTTTTTTTTAATTTTTTTTTTTTAATCTTCTACAAAAATGAAACTGACTCTGGGGAAATTGATTTCCCTTTTATGGTAACTGGCACAGATATTCAGCCAGGTGCAGACTTTGGTACACGTTTGGTAAACACAGTTCATCAAAATCTATTAGTATTGGTGACGGATGTGTCCCTTTTTAAGTATGAATCAGAATTGTATTCGTTTATGTATTGTAGAACCTGTGAATTGGGGCTGATTGTACAAGGACAGGGTGGGAATGTGTGGAGTTCATGATTAGAAAGGCCTGTCAGAAGTGGAGTTCTGTGTTCTCGTTCTTTTATTTTTGCTTTCATTATGGGCTTCTACACCCATCTCTAACCCAGCAGTATCAGTTTGTAGGAAAAAAGTGTGTGTATGTATATATGTGTGTGTGTGTGTGTGTGTGTGTGTGTGTATATATATATATGTATATATATATATATGTATATAATAATATATATGTGTGTGTGTGTGTGTGTGTGTATTGTATGTATGTATATGTGTGTATGTGTATATATATATATACTGCATATATATATAACATATATATATACTATATATATATACTCTATATATATATATATATATATATATATATATATAATCTCTCACACATTTTATGTGATGATTTCTTTGCCTTGATCGAATATAATATATAGCATAGGAATATATTGTAATACCCCTTTCTAGGACTTGGAGCCTGAATTTTTGAGGTGTATGGAGCCAAAACAATAGCAGGCAATGAGAGCAGTGTAGATGTATGATGCAGGCAGGAGTTGTCACGAGGAACTTAAGAATTTCCTACTTGCCTTATAAGGCACCCAAAAGTCCTGCCCTGTCCAAATAGCTATATAGATGTGTCCTTTCCTCCAGAGGCTGCAAATACTCCAGTGACACAGCAAGGAAACGGTGCATTTAACATTTGCTTATAGCACTTCAATTCATGGAGCCATTGCTGCCCCTCACAGCAAATTCACTCACCAGTGATGCTGCACAGCTAGACTGTGACTCTGATAGAGTATCAAGACATTTGGCAATATTGTACATTTGTTACTTGTGAGATACTTACCAGCTTTCTACAGCTAAACTGCACACTCTGATGTGTTGGATATATTTATTATTTATTTTTTTTCCCCTAAGGAAGCTATTGGCTAGTCTCAATTGGGCAATGTTGCTCAATAAATAAAAATATGACCGGCATGCAAATAGTTTTGCCAACTTACTTCAAGACGTATGATAGATGTATATGTGGTTTTTTTTTATTTTTTTTTTTTTTTTAAGATCTGAACTTTGTACATTTACTTTTTTTTTTTTTTTTTTTTTTTTTTAATCTAAGATATTTTGAAAATATAATTTATATTTGACATCTTGTTAAATAGTCAAAACCATTAATAGCAGATTTTGTGTAAGATTTCAATAACAGGATGGAATGCTGAGGTCAAGTAGCAGAGTTGAGCACCCTTGGGTGCTGCAGCATTTGGAAAATATATACACTATCAGCTGTGCTTGCTCGGTCTCATGAGAGCAGTTCACTGCTATAAGAATGCAGTGGCTTTTTTTTTAATTTTTTTTTTTTAACTTTCATGCACAATAAGTGACAGATACATTAACTGTTCCCGGAACCCGTGTCACCTCTCACATCTAAGCCTCGTCTGTTAAACCGGTAGAGCAGACTTGAATGGGATGGGCCTGCAGGGTGTAAAGTCCCTGTACATTAAGGGCACGAAGAGTTTAATGTTCTTCCTGGGCTAACCATAAAACGGTTAAGCCACAGTATGACCAAACTCTCTTGTTTGGCTGCTTTTTAGGTTAAAAAGCACTTGTTGATCTAAAGAACTGGATTTGGAGCAGTACAGTAACAATCTCTACCTTACATTCTGTGCTGTCATAGAATGAAAAGGTCAGGACTCTTAAAACTTCCTGCTCTACTTGCAGATGACGTTTCGTGAGCTATTTAGGTGCTTTTGGTTTTCCCCTTCTTCCATCAGATAGGAGTATGTTCTGTTTGTGCATTCTACAGACGAACATCAGTGTATGCAAACAAACAATGACAGTTCTATTCAGTCGAGATACATTACACCTTTTTATATACACTTGGGTCAGTGCAATAGACTGAGTAGGAGAGGTTAATTGAGCACAAATAGTTGTACAGGGTGGATTCTCATCTGCCCTGCAAACCCTTAATCTAGTTCCCTGTGGCCATTAATAGAGGCTTGGTTCTGTGATTGCACAGGGTGTGCTTGCAACTTCCCAGAATCCTCTGTTCTGTCTAGAACAGGCGCCTCTTGCTTGCCAAAAATATATTCAAAAGCAGATTTAAAAGCTTGCGAGATCAACTGACGTGGTCATTCATATGCAGTTGATCTTTTCTATTTGAAATATATAATATATCTATCAGTTTTGATGTTTATTAAATTTAATTATTGCCTGTGTACTACAGTTACACTTGTTGTTGGTTTCAGAATTTAAGTGGATGTTCAGTTAAATTATATTGCAGCCCCTGCCTTAAAAACGGAAGTGATGAGTTTTTGTACTGCAAGAGGTGTGTAACCACATCCGATTTAAACATCTGCAAACTTTCTAACATCTGTCCCTTTTCTGTGATCACACTGAATATGTAAACCTAAAAGGTGATAAGTGATTAAAAATACTTGCCCCCCACCCAGTTTACAATTGACCATATCCTTCCTTCTACAAAACATTTTAAGATAACTCTGCAAAACTGGTACCTCATGCAGAAACACTGAACATATTATTTTATTCATACAGTGTTATGGCTTTATTGGTACGGTTATCACCTAATTGGGTACAGGGTTGATTACTCAATCACTAGCTGCTGACCCCCATCCTTTTTGTTTTGGGTTTAGAAGCCCTTGGAGCTGTGATGTGAGTGACTAGTTAAAATATAAACTAACATTCTATTCCTTGTTTATCCTAAAGTCATATTTCTTTAACCTTTTGACTGAAAAGCTTGCCCTACAGATATGCTTTTAGCAGAGATCAAATGTCTTTATGTAGCTATCTCTTGCTCCACGACCTTAACTGGTAGTGGAGAAAGAGGTGGATCTTCTCTGGTAATTAAGGTTCTAATAGATTACACAAATCCACAATTAACTGGAATATTTTTATATACATTATCTTGACCATAAAGCATTTTCACGATTCTATAAACGTTACATTGGAATTCTGTGGTGTGCGTGACTGCTGTACTTGGAAGAAATTATAACACCCCCACCCCATAATATTTCCAGTAGTAACATGAAGGACACTGGCTTATGTTGCCATATAATATCCTATCGCCTCCTCTAAATCTATTGTCCTCGCTTCAGGTTAAATATCCTGTTACTTTGCCACTTATTTCCACCAAACTGTCCAATGTCTATCTCCTGGGGCCTTCCTGTTTTCTCCTAGTGGATGCTTGGACACTTGCTCACCTGTGGCTTTTTTTCTCATAGGCTGAAGCAGATGTAGCCTCATTGAACAGGCGTATCCAGCTAGTAGAGGAGGAGTTGGATCGTGCTCAGGAACGTCTGGCAACAGCCCTTCAGAAACTGGAGGAGGCTGAGAAGGCTGCAGATGAGAGTGAGAGGTGAGTAGATGGGACTTCTCTTACAGGTGATCTAAACCAAGGCTGATCATGGTGATCTGTATATCATTAGTATTTTAGCCTTCCTGTAGCCATATAGGAGTGGTGAAGAAGTAAGGCAAACTTAGGTTCTCCAACTCCTGTGTCCAACCAGTCAGTCTTCTGTCTTGTTTAGAATCATGGATTTTGTGGATCACTGCACTTATAGTGCTACAGGCTGCTGTTGAGATTACTAAGTGGGGGTAACACAAATATTGGTACTATTGGCATTGAAAGCTACATCATTGCCTATTTTCATGTATTTCAGAGGTATGAAGGTCATTGAAAACAGAGCCCTGAAGGATGAAGAGAAGATGGAGTTGCAAGAAATCCAACTGAAGGAAGCCAAGCACATTGCTGAGGAGGCTGACCGCAAATATGAAGAGGTGAGGAGGTCAAACTAAGCAGAACTAAGTAGGCTTATAAAATCTCAGCTGGTCAAAGATGAAGTGGTTCGTACAGTAGAATGCTTTGACCAGACTTGAAGACTTATTGTCCATTGTGTTACAATAGGTTGCCCGTAAGCTGGTGATCATTGAGGGTGACCTGGAGCGTGCAGAGGAACGTGCTGAGCTCTCAGAAAGGTATGGGTTACTGGTTCTTCATGGGCTTAGTTACCTTGATGCATGTTTTATCCACTTGCTGCAAAAACACACACTTAATATTCCTGGACAGCATTTTTCATATGCTTCCATTGCAGTGGCATCCATTGACTTTTGCCAAACTATTTCTGCATGTAACTACTATGGCTTGAAGACCCTTAAGAGTTGGTGTTATCAGTTGTGCATTAGGCCACACCAAGGACACTATTTTGCCCTATATGATTTAGTATTTATTTTTAAGACCTGTTCTCTAGAATGTTCCTGGGATTGTGTTTAAAAATGTGACACACAAACTCAGACACTTGTTTTAGTGGATACTGCTTCGTCTAGAAATTTAGATAGCGGAGTATTCTTCAATCACTGTCAAGTTAGAAAGGCCTATCCTGGAAGCCATACCATTGTTAGCTGATATGCATCTACCATTACTGGTGATGAGATTTAGCTACAAACAATAGGATATGAGAGTTGTTGGTTCTTCAAGTGATATTGTAGGAATTTGGAACTGGCAATTGATTAGCCTAGTCCTGACCCTCTTCTTAAACTGCGGGGCTGTACATCACAACTGATAACTCAAATCCTGTGCTACCCACAGATATAAAAGCATTTTAACTTATTTGAAACTCTAAGAAACCTTTTCCTGATCACCTGTAACAATGTGGTTTTTTCTTTGCATGCTCCATATAATGCGAATGGCTTGTTCGTTTCGCCTTTATTTCATATGCTCATTAATAGTCGTTGCCGGCAGCTGGATGATCAGCTGAGAATAATGGACCAAACTGTGAAAACGCTAATAGCCTCAGACGAGAAGGTACTGGTGCTAGATTGTGCCCTCCTCATTTCCCAGCAACAGGGCATCAGAACCTCGCTTAATATGTGCTTACTCTCTGCTACTTTAACTTCAACAAGCTTCTTGTGATTGTTCTTGGGTTTTCTTTTTTGTGTATAAAACTGAGCCAAAAGGAGAAAAGGCAGGATTACAGCCGAATACTGAGTGTTATTAATTTTCTTTTAATAGTCTAGATAACTGTACACCAAGCATAAACTTTTAAATGTAAAAAAACAACCTTTCATGGTTTCAAAAATTGGGCTACTAGAATTTTAGAAGTAAAATGTATTAAACCAATTTCTGAATCACACTCGAGTGCCGTACTGATCTGCATGCCTCGCTGTATATAATTTTAATTTATTTTTTTAATCAGCATAGAGTGTTCAAGTGTAACCTAGCCTTTTTTTCTTTTTGGATCAGTTGGGTTTTTCTCTCTATATGGATTGGATTTTCATTCTTTTCTCTCCTCTTTCAATCTATTTTTATTTTTTTTTCCTGGTTTCTTCTTGCTCCTGCCACCCCTGCCTTTTTCCTCACCCCATCCAAATAGCAAATGTGCTGAACTTGAGGAAGAGTTGAAAACTGTTACCAACAACTTGAAATCCCTGGAGGCCCAGGCAGAGAAGGTAGGATGGCAAACTGCGTATAGAGCCATGCTGCTCTAGTTTGGTATAAAGAGACTTACACACACAAATCTGACATTACCAGGCTTATTCTTTGTCCCTTGTCAGGAACCCATTTGTGATCAGCATGACATGGCGAGGCCCTAGTTGATATTTTGTAAACTTCTTTTTTTTTTTTAAACTTTATTAGGTAATTAAATTGTATTTCATTCTTTGTCCCTTGTAATGGGGAAAGTGTGTGGGTTGTTTTTTTTTTTATTTATTTTTTTATTTATTTTTTTTTAAATGTCTTTTTAAAAAATGTGTAAGATGTTTATTTTTAATCATGTCACCCTTTTGCTGCATTAAATCCTAAAACTCCTCAACTCTATCTTCAATCTAGCCTTATTTAGAAACAAAATGGCCAATGGAAATCATCTGGGCTTTGATTCCTAATGATGCAAGTGGAGTGTTGAATAAATTTTTAGTAATTGCGATATATTAAAAATCTGGACATTAACATGCAGTACACAAACAATGGGATTTAAAAAAAAAACAAACAAACAAACAAAAAAACCTCAAGAAATGCTGAATGTGATGCTTACCACCAGATCTCTACAATTCGCACCTCCCTTTTTTTTTTTTTTTTAAAGCCTATTCTATAAGGTGATGGGCTATAATCACTCACATTTCTTTCTTACTTGTTTATCTTCTAAATATATTTTTCTGCTTCAGTTAAATCCCTGTGGTGTCTGTCTTAGTGATTTGCTCCCTAGTGTGCTGCTAAATGTTAGATCTGTAATTGTTAACCCATTGAGCATTATACTGCAAACTGTTTGTACGCTACTAGATTTATTAGTGGGGCCACACATTACAGAAGCCACGTATCAAATTTGTTCTGTGGGAAGTTTAAATACAGCATCCTTCATTATTGGCCTTCTTAAGGACCTCCATTTTAATGAAGGATGGTACAAGAAGCATTAAAGAGATGTTTAGTGGTAATATTTTATTTGTTTGCTATAATTGGGCATATTGCAGTTCCCCTGGTATCTCTGTGGAAAGGCTACAACATCTTAATGGACCCAAACTCTCGTTTACCTGAATAGAATTTTTTTTTTCTTAATCCTACAGTACTCCCAGAAAGAGGACAAATATGAAGAGGAAATAAAGGTGCTCACAGACAAACTGAAAGAGGTAAGTGCGTTCAACTGGCCGTGCACCGGTGGGTTTTCTTGTTGACCATGCACTCATGTTGTCTTCTGTCCTTTTCCAGGCTGAGACACGTGCTGAATTTGCAGAAAGATCAGTAGCCAAGTTGGAAAAGACCATTGATGACTTAGAAGGTATGTCCTTTCGGTCCCTTGGGGTTAGAATGTTTGAATATCACCCGGAATACTGGAAAATAAGAATGTGTTTGTTTCTTGTTTCCTCCTGAAGGGATCCTCTAAAATTATTGGTAGTCCTGTATTTATATATTTATCAGGTTGATAATTACTTAATGGTATTTCCCCATATTCTTCCATATGGTAATATAGATTGTATCCTTTAATGATTTCTTCAGTCTTTTCCCTCTATAGAGTCCACTCGTACACCCAGATTATTTATTTTTGTGCTGTACTTATACTAATTAGGAGAACCACTGCAGTTTGATTTGTTGGAGAGATAGCAGGTGAACGTAACTATATGGATAGTAGTGCATTATTTGGGCCTGTATAGTTGAGAACCACAATTTGGGCATAATATGGAAAATACTGATTGGTTCACCTGCTGTAAGACTTTTTATCTGTTTTAATTTTTTTTTAAATTTTATTTCATTTTTGGTGTGGGGCACAAGCTTTTATAATTCACGACTTGACTATTCTCTTTACTTTACCAATGTGATTTTCTGTCCTTGCCTCTTCCTAATCTGTCTTTTCTCTTCCTTTTTTCTTATTTTATTGCACCATTTGCTCTTCGGCTGGGTTCTACGCTGCTGCTTCTCCATCACACTGTCTGCTGCTTTGCATTGGATGGGCTTCTTCCCAACAACAAATGTCGCATCTCCTGCTTTTTTTTTTTTTTTTTTTGGTTATCCCTCCACTTTCCAATTGTCTTCTCTCCTCTCCCTTTCCATACCCCGTTCCCTTTTTCTGTCCTTTTATTTTCCATCCTATTCGTTTCCCCTGCCGCCACCTTTTATTTTTTTTGCATTTGCCTGTTCTTGCTCCTGCCTTCGTTCTGAGCAGATGAGCTATACGCTCAGAAACTGAAGTACAAAGCAATCAGTGAAGAACTGGATCACGCTCTCAATGACATGACTTCAATGTAAATTTTATTTTTTTTCTTTCTCTGTTTTCCATACCCTCTCCACTCACTTAATAAAACTCACGTCCTACCCTCACACCTTAAATCACTTTATTTGCTCACTTCTGGATTCACTTTTAACTGCTTATTTGTAATATTTTCGTTTTACATTTGTTTAGACAACTGGCCAAACTTTATTCCAATCAAATTATGAATAGGACACAGTGCACAAATGATTAGTTTATAAACTAAAGTTATTGGCTGTCAGAGGCATTCTGCCCAATGTCATGGACATAAGCCATAACTTTAATGGTTCCTTTTGTTTGGCTACTTCCCTGCTGTATTCCAAGATGCAACTAAATGTTGATCAAACTCGATTTACAAAAATAGCCAGTGTTTAAGCAAATGTAAACTCTTCTTTGTATTATATTTCATATTTATTTCTGCTTTATTTATATAAAACCTCCTCACTGTGCACTAACGTAACCAGTACGGAAAAGCTGTATACATACCTCAGAAAACAATGGCTCCTACCAGCCCAGTTCTTTTCATTATGTAGCAAACTGTACATATTCTAATGTGTCATAAAATTTGAGTCCAACATATTTATGCTTGTATCTGAAATATGTTTAATGGGACTTTGCATGCTATGCATTACAATATAAGCTTGCGCTAACTTGGAAACTAAAGTATTGGTCACTGTAGAACATATCTAATATGTGTAGTATTTGAACATTATGGGATACTATGATCTGTTTTTAATAGGTTTGTGTCTTGTTGTGAGGCAGTAGATTATAGTGGGTTTTTAAAGGTTAAAAAAAAAATATTTTGAGGACCATCACATTTTAAATGTCATAGGAAGAAAAATTATTACTTTGCTCTCGCCCATACCCATGTTAATGTAAATTGAGCACCACTGATATTTTATTTAAAGGAACACTATAGGGCCAGGAACACAAACATGTATTCCTAACCCTATAGTGTTCAAAACCACCATCTAGCACCTCTGATGCCCATAAAATAGTATAGTATGCTGCTGGTTCTGTCCCTGATTGGCCTCATTGGCTTACATCATTTAAAGTGATGATCTGAGCCAATCAGAATGATTTCCCATAGGAAAGCATTGGATTTGCTGAGACTGCCAAGGAGGCAGGTCAGGGGCAGAGCCAACACAAGTCAAACACAACCCTGGCCAATCAGCATCTCCTCATAGATATATTAATTCAATGTATCTAAAGAACATTCAGTATCTCCATGCAGAGGGTAGATAAACTGAATGTCAGTGCTGCACATTGTGTAACAATGCCCCAGAATGCACCTCTAGTAGCCATGCGAGGAGTGGCTAGTGGAGGTATCTCTAGGCTGTAATGTAAACACTGCATTTTCTCTGAAAAGTTGGGGTTTACAGCAAAAAGCCTGAAGGGAATGATTCTACTCACCAGAACAAATACAATAAGCTGTAGTTGTTCTGGTGACTATAGTGTCCCTTTTTAATGTTGCCAGGCTTGAACATACTGGACCTGTAATGTATACACCATTGTGATACTCTGTGATACCAATCCTCAAATACCTTTTTAAAGGAAAACTGGCCCCTGCACATGTCCTAATGTAAACACCCTGATTTAAAGCTTACAAGAAGTACAGCAAACAAACCAATGTTGCCCCATTATTGATCTATCCAGAGGAGCTGTTGAGACCCAACTTTTTGATACATTTGACAGTTCTAGTGATCTTCTAGAAACTTGATGATCCAGTAGTAGAATGGAACACACTTAAAATGACTTGACTACATTTCAAGTTAACCTGTACAAAAAACTTTCACATTGTAGCTAAAATGTCACATTGACGCCTTCTTTGGGGTTTTAACTTCTATCTGAACTGGTTCACTATGCTCCATTTGCGGATCCTCCATTATCCCTAATCTACACAAGCCACAGATCTCCCTACCCGTTGTACTGGTTCAGTGCACTGAAAAAAGCTAGTGGTAAATAACTTGTGGATTAGTAAATGACACACCGTTTGGGTTGGAGCCATTGATGCATTAGGAAAATCCTTTCCCGACACTTGTCAGGCCAGCAGTCTAGTAATACGGTGTTCACTGTAACTTTGGGAGAAGTATTCTATTCCCATTCTAACTACACCTTTTAACTATTGAATGTGTTCCTTTGCTTCTATAGAACTTGCAATCCTTTTGATATGTTGGCTAAATTAAGGTTTCTGGGAGCTGCGTAATGCATTTACTTTGGCGACTCCTTGCTCAAATTAGCTTTTATTAATGATATTGCTGATATATATACACTGGCAAATTGGTAATCCTCAACCAGCCAGATTCTTAAAGACCCCCAAAAATTATCATTTTATCAAGATCCCAGAAACCTCCTTTAGCAGATTTACTACAGATATCAGGAGATTGCAACCACACACAAAGCGGGTCACCTTGCTGACCAGTTCTCCGCTCACCCATCTAATACTTCTGCTGCTGTTTTCCGTTTTAAAAATGGAAAATTTTAACACTATACGTAAACTCCCACTGCTTTGCTGCTGACCTGCGAGCAACTTCAGTCAGCTGACAATTGCGCTTAATTAAAAGGAAAAATCACATTTTGGACCCACTCGTCTCAAAGAACAAAGCAAATGTAGTATAATCAACATTGTAGAGGATGGGTTCATTGGACGCTCTGCTTCTTAGAACAGCCTCTAAAGTGAACCGTCAGGTTTTGCCTTTGATCAAAGCAGATCAAGAAGCTTCGATGCCTGTGGACTCTAGTCCTTGATTAAGGAAAAGGAAACTTGAACGAATAATCCTTAATTCTTACTGTAGTGGTATGCTGATGGTATGTTTTATAACAAGCCTTCTGTAAGATGGTCATGTTATAAACTGGGCCCCATAAGTGGTAATGGTATCAAGCGCTATCAATTAAAAACTGAGTGCAGGAAACGTTATCTGCATTTAGTTTCTACACAATATGACTCAAAAGGAGGATTTAGATCCACTTGCCGACCTCAACCCTGGTGCCTGGACAAAAAAAGTCCCGTGGTATTCCTCCTCCCTTCTCTAACCCCCCTCCCCAATGTCTTGGTTGCAGATTAAATTACAATCTTTAGTAATATTTCATCATATCTCAATACTGACCCTGGGCTGACCGGTCCTTGGAACGCTTGGCCAGTCATGGCCATCGAAGTTGTCCAGAATTAACACTGATAATTTAAATGTGTAACCTCCCATCGAAATAAGCTGCTGAGGGGGTTGCCCTTTAGTGGCAGTAACCCCCTTGGTTTATATAAAATAACTTGTAAAATATTTGGTAACGAACTGGGAGACCGTTTGCAAAATTGGCAATTACAGCAAACCACAGGTTTTCTGTTTTTGCATTTGTGGTTTTGTTTTATACTCCCAAGTGAAAATTGTTCCCATTTGAAAACTCCTAGCCAACGGATCTATCCTGGGAACCACTTTACATAAGGGGTTTGTTAGTCGTAGTGCTGCCATTACAGTTAGTGGCAGGACCAGGATTGATTGAAAAATTACAGTCCCTTCCTGTTTGGGTTTGCAACAAATATGAGCGAGGGGTGGGGAGATATTGGTTTTCCTTAAGTCTGACTGATTAACTTCAGTTTCTCAAAAAATACCTTGTATTGGTATTGGTGTCAGGCTCCCCAATTGTAAGGAATCAAACTGGTTTTGAATGGTTTGACTTCTTACCTGGAGGGGGAAGAGGACTTCTGGAAGCTTAGTGTAGGACTTACAACAATCAGTTGACCCCTGCCTATAAAGGATGTGCAAGAACACTTCTTACACCATAATCGCTTTAGTGGTTATAGTGCAAGAGTGTTTCTTTTCAAAGTATATTCAGTGTTTGTGGGGGATTAATTCCCTTTCCACTCAAAAGACCAATGCCCTAAGAAATGCTTGTGCATTTGATCACCTTCAGAGTAAAGCAATTGCTTTACCCCCAGATAGTTAGTGTTACATGTTAAATGGGGGAGGGGAGGGGGGTTGTTAATGTGTGGCCTACTCTTATTGCTTTCACGAAGGGGACATGTGCTAGCCTTTTTTTGTTCAAGATGGCATAGCCTTTTTCTTGCCCCATCTTTAGAATAATTGTCCCAGTAATGTGTTGAGTACTGATGATGAAATCACTCAGATTCTAAGAGTTATGATTTGTGGTCTTATTGAATTGCACTCATAGAGATTCACAAATTTCTGCAGTAAATTGGTGCTGGTCTTCCATAAAAATCTGCTTTATTGAAATTCCATAAAGAGAAATCCTACAGTGATGGATTTTAAACGGGCACAAGTAGTCATTCAGCAGAACTAGCGACCCACGTTTTGACTTTGCTCTTTAAAAGCTGATCGGTGAAGGAAGTTTGGCTGGATTCCATGTGAAATATACACCTGTGTATATTAGTGTTTTGATGGAAAATGGGCATGGATGAGACTGCAGAGAGCAACCATCTGGCCTTGAACCAAACCTTTAATATATATATATATTTTTTTTTTTTTTACTTTTTCCCCTTTCACTTCTGTCAAAAGAAGCAAAATCAAAATGGTGCCTAAATGGTTCAACAGATATGTAAATTTATATATATATATATATATATATATATATATATATATATATATATATATATATATATATATATATATATATATATATATATATATATATATTTATTGCTACCTCACATGTAAACCGGCTGGAGTTTGAGATGCTGAAGCGGTATTTGGGGTAGTCTTTTACCAATACCACCATGACCGCATTTTAAAGAATTTGACATACCAAAAAAAACCTGTATTCTCCCTTCCATTCCTCAGTGACTCATGCAGGCTCCCTACACTAAATACTACGTGCCAATTCCTAGCGTCATGTTGCTTATTTGTGTTCTGAATGTTCCTAGCTGTCCATACATTTCAATGGTACATATAAAAAAAAATTTTTTAAAAATGCAGAAACGTTTATTTCTAGTAGCTAAGCTCAAGGTGAGAATCCAGTATTTGCCAAATTTCATTGAAAGTTATCCTTTAATAATCTCACTAAAATCGACTGCTGGTCTAAAAAGAGCACGATAATCTAACCAAAATCTTCAACTGGTCTATGACGCTTCTGCCCTCCCATATAGCGTTCGGAATGCTTATCTGCCAACCGCATGCGCTTTAATCTTACCCTGCACCCGCTCTACTTTTTATCGATCTGATTTATTATTATTATTTTATAACCTTACCTTTTTCTTCCACACAGATAAAAAAATGTTTTTCTGCAGCTGGTCCTCTTTTTCTCCTACCTGGGCTGGATATTCGTCTGAGCTGTCCTTTTATCTTAGTCTCTACTTGGAACTCTTAAATCTGTCCTTCTGCATTAAATCCAAAGTCACCTTTCTGCTGTACAGACACTCTGTAAAATAAAAGACCCACTGTGTATTTTTCGCTCTGCTTTATTTTATTTTTTTCCAGCACTATTTATTGAAAACCTTTAATAAAATGCAAATCTATACTTTTAAAGCTTGTAGGACATCTCTGTATATGTATTCTGTAAGTGTTCACATGAAGCAACCAGTTTAATATACTACTGTCACCCATCTCGATTATTTGTTGCCGTTTTTGTTTTACCCTTTTAAATAGTGATATATCCTGCACACAAGTCTCTGGCAAACTTGGTGTTAAATCCTCTTGCTGAATAAAATAGAATAAATTCCACTTCCAATGCGGAATTGTTGACAGGGTTGGTGTTTGCTTTGGGAAATCATAAGCCGGCAGTCCTATCCTGCAATAAAAATCTCTGCTTAGTGAAGTCAATGGGACAGGTGTTTTGTGGCCACTTTGTCCTGTTTACACAAGTGTTATGCAAATCATCGAAGGTTTGATAAATCTGTTTTTCATACAAATACTTGATCATATTTTAATCTGGCCCCCCCCCCCTTTTTTTTTTTTTTTAAAGGGCTATTCTAGTCTAATTTTTCTTGATATGCCTTTTTTAATTTAAAAAAAATAAATAAATTTAAAGTGGGGGAGAGAGAAATCTCCCTCTCGTATTTCAAATACGCAGGAACCATAAATAGGCTGTTTAAAAAACAAATAAAATGGTATGGCCAGGATTGACCAAGATTTGCAGCAGCTTAAAGTTAAGAGTAGAGTTGATTGTGTATTATAGTTTTTATGTTGTAGAAGTATTTTATACTCTGAATTTCCATTGCATGTTGCAAATCTGGAGCTTATCAGGGGACCAGGCATAGGCAAATGGTTTTCTGCCAATCCTGGGTACTCTCAATGTACGATTTTGGAGAGGGGAGAAAACCTGTTTAGCATGGATTTGGAGGATACATATTTCAGCACTTGACGATTTAATTTATGCAATTACAGAAACGGACTGCTTTACCTAATCCTAGCCATAGTATAGCTTTAGTTAAAAGGACACTGTAGGCACCCAGACCACTTCAGCTCATTGAAGTGGTCTGGGTGCAAACTCCCATCACCCTTAACCTAGGGTTAACTCCTCCTCTACCAGACAGCCACTAGAGGGACTTCCAGGGTGCTATGCATGAGGACTTCCAGCATCGCCTAATCTTAATTGGGTCCTAATGCGAGGAGGAGCTGAGGGACATCGACGTTGGGTCCAGGTAAGTGACAGAGGGGGTTATTAACCCCTTCTGCACCACGGGAGGGGGGAGCCTTGACAAACATTCCAGCAGACCTGACACTTAAGGGATGATGGCGAATCTGCATGTGCACAAATTGAAATGTGTTGTGGTGATTGAGATTTAAACTCCTGTTTGAGGAGTTGTGGTCCCTGATCCCAATAAATGTTGAAGTGTCCACTGGAGGGTAAGGCGTGACCGGATGCATAAAACACATGCCTACCTTTGCATGGGTCTAGCACTGCCATCTCCCCAAGTTTAAATAATCTCATACCACATGTTTGTGTTTTTTTTTTTTTTTGGTCCCTATGGTTTTTCTCCTGGCAGTCTTATTTACTCATCACTGTGTAATCTCCACATCACTGTTGAACCTGTAAGAGTTCAAAATGTAGATCTTACAAGATGCACATATGCATTGTACCTTGTGTAATGCACAGTAGGCCACGACGATACTAATGGTCAATTGGCTTCAAACTAGAGGGTTTACATGTTGGAAAGACTTTCTTGGCTTTTAAAATGTCTATACTTGGTCAGCAGTTCTAAGCATAGATTTAAATAAATAAACTATGTATGTATTCTGACAAGTTAAAGTGTTATTGTGGATAGTGAAAGCAAACCAAATCTGTTACTAAATCAGCAGGTTGCAGAAGATTATCTTGTCATATTGTAAAAACTTCTATCTGAATTGTATAGAACGACGAGTGATCTGTACCTGGACCCAATCTATATATAATTGTGGCGATATCAAAATTTAGGATCTGGAGACCCTTTTTAAAGGAAAACTATAGTGCCAGGAAAGCAAACTCATTTGCTTGGCACTAGAGCTTACCCCTTCATCAAGGCCCACCATGGTGCAGAAGGGGTTTAAAAACCCTTGTGTGATTTACCTTGGTCCAGCGCCAATGTCCCTCGGGAGACCTAATGCGCATGACACTCATTGACTGTTGCTTATAAAGGCTGTAGAGGAAATGGGATGTCAGCAGCCAATAAGATTGAGTGTGCAAGGTAGCTTCCAGTTTAACATTTTAAGAAATCCATAATGGTTCTTTTAAAATCTTAGCTGAAAATAACTTTTATTAATAGAAAACTGATTTGGAAACTATTGGAATGCCCCAGCTAATTCCATGGTTTCCATGATGACTGCTGTACTATTGGCTTTAGGCCAAAACCATACTTTATTTATTTTTTTTATAAAAATTTATTTTGATATGAATCTGAGAGAACTATTTTCATACTTCTACACTGAGATAGTATATGCATCCGAAATATTCCAATATCCACTAAATACAAACCAAGGCCCAAATAATTAACTAGTTTTAGTAGCAGGTAGAAGTTGGCATCTGATATTTGCCAGGATGTTGGAATTGGCATTGCATAGGCTCCTTGCTCTTTTTTTTTTTTTTTTTTTTTTTTTTTTTTTTTTTTTTTTTTTTTTTCTTCTTCTGCTAACCTCTGCAGTCTTTATTTATTTTTTGATATTACCTGTGCACTGTATGGTTTACTGATAAAGTTCATTGTAAAAGTCCCTTATTGTAACTGGACATGACATTTGTTGGAATGGTACCTAGCGAGTCCTTTTTACAAGGGTTATAACTTTTACACATCTTGTATTGTGTGCACATGGATGTAAAGGGATAGGGGCTCTGCTTCTACTTTAAATAGTCTTCCAATAAATGGTGTTAAAAATAAAAATAAAATATAAATAAAAAATGGCAGTGTCGGAAGGGCTGTATAGTTGCTCCTAGGTATGAGTAACAGGCATATGGGGTGGCACTTAATTTTAATCAAGAAATTGTAAAGCCCCCAGTGATTGATCAAAACTTATGAGAGTGCAGCACGCTGTAAGCACTAAGAATGTAATAATTATCAGAACAAGCATTCTATTTTGTTTTGGCTTGTAATTCCTCCTGTATGGGTTTTGTGTGTGACAGTTTATCTTGATCCCCATGTAATTGCCTGTAAAATCTTTAAGGCCTAAAGCCGAATGGCTGTGATCATAACATGTTCTTTTTAAGGATCATATTCCAATATGGAATGTCCCAATTACTGAACAAATGCAGTGCTGTATGGCATGGCCAAAGTTTAATACACAAATTCCATGCTGTCATAAGGTCTCTGGTGGATATGTTGCAGGTGGCTGGGGGGATTGTCATCAAGACATAGTTTTAAACCCTAATTTAAGTCTGATCCCCAGATAATAAAAACTATAATTGTGCTGCATGGAACAGCTAAAATGTAACTACCTTTCAGTTTAGAACATTGGCCTTTGTGAGCAAATGGCCAGAACATAGTGTGTTTCTTTTCTTTGAGCATTTGAAATCTATAATGGTTGCATTTCTAGGCCTCAAAACTGGCATTCGGGCATATCCACATATTGCTCAAGGTAACTAAAGCAGCTGTTGGTATATAGTCTCAGGAAGCCAACAGTCAACTTCACATAGACTCGTATAATTTAGAGGATATTGGCAATAGTTGGGTATTTTGATAAGCTAGGTCTTGCACTGACTTCTTTGTTAGTTTGGGTTACATATTACAAGGTGGTTGTTCATTCAATTTATTTTTTTATTTTATTTATTTTTTTAATTTGTTTTTGTGCCGTTTCACAAACCTAAATGGCATGCGTAAACTGCACTGCAGATTTTCTACCGATAGAATATGGCACAGTAGGACATTATTAAACTTTTTTTTTTTTTTGATTAAACTACTTTGTTTACAAGTTGATTTTATTATTCTCGCGCATATAAGAAATTTGCCATCGGCTAGTAAATGCCCCCAAGTTTTAAAACTGGAATGAGGGTAGGAGAAATAGATACTCTCTTGTCTAGACTTTAGTTTTAAGAGTTACCAGTTCTCCAGACATTTCATTATCTCAACACTCGAAGGGAAAACAAAACCCCATTTCCATCGTGTAGTGAAGGTATGTTGTTCATGCATACGTCTCTCTCCTGAAAAGGTAAAGTGGCCTGTCGTGGAATGCTTTAATTTCAGAATTAACTAAAACATTTTGTGCTAACCAGTTCTAGTGGATTTTGATACAACCAGAAAACCTATTGTGTGACAACTAACTTGTTTACCCATTGCATTTTGCCTTGTTGTGTTTTGCCATGTCTGATCTGTTGAGGTGAAATTCATTTGTAATATTTCCATGCCTGAGGGCTAATTTGTGTCTATACAGAAAACCAGTTTACTGATCTGTCTTGTAAACTCGGTCTCTATTTCGCAAATGTCACACTCCAAGACTATAAAGATCATATTTAAGTAATTTATTAATCATGAATTTCACTGATGCGTGTGCAGTACATGTTACTAACTTTTTTTTTTTTCTTTCTTTCTTTAAAACTGATCCTCCGTTAGTTTTATTTGTGTTGTTTTTTTTTTTGTCTTGTTCTGGAAGATAAAAGCATCCATTTCATTACATGGTGTAACCTAGGAGTTCACAAATAATGGATGGTTTTCATATGAGTGGATTATATAGAAATCTATGGATGTGCCATTTGGACAGCTCTAATTCTCAAATCTAGATGGCTTACAACAGCAGTGACTTCTGGTCTAAATATTCTGCAATTGTTAACCCCACCAACAAATTGTCAGGCTGATTGGAACTCAGTACCTCTGTCTCTCTCTTCTAGCGATACTGATTGTTGATCCTTAAACACAGCTGGTTTAAAGAGACATGGCACCTCCCCCACTCCCTTTACCCCCCCAACCCGCCCTCCCTTTATTTTATTTACCGTATGTAAATATTGGGTCACATTGGCTTTTTCTATTAACTCTGGTGTTAGATGCATCAAGTTCATCAAATATTAGAATGTTATCATTAAGGTGTGTTTAACAATGTTTTTGTGTGTATCTGTTACTATATATACATGTTATAGGTTTGTTTGTTCTTTCTCGCTCTCTCCTAATACATCTTTAATACCTCCTTTTTGATAATGGTATGCTCTTGTTTTGGTCTTTTTGAATTTGTTTATCATGTTGTGGGGTTTTTTTTTCGCGTGTGTGTGTGTGTGTGTGTGTGTATGTATGTATATAATGCGAAATGGCTGTACTAATTTATACAAATATAGTTTTGGGGTGCTTGCATATGTCTACGTACTCAATCTTTCTTGTTTTCGGCCCATTGCAGAGAAAGTGGCACATGCAAAAGAAGAGAATTTAAATATGCACCAGATGTTGGACCAAACACTGCTGGAATTAAACAACATGTAAAGATACTTCGACGTGTTTCTGTGATGTCTGGTTTTCTGAAGACACTGCTTGTCAAAGTCCATACAAATGCAATTATTTTTTTTGGGAAGAAATGGCAGGGTTTTGTTTTTTTCCTTCATGTGACCTGAAAGACTTAGTGTCTTTCTGCCCACAAAATCAAAGCTGGGATGGATAGGGGTTCTGAATGCAGTTAGCCAAGGTGCCAATTACGTATGTGGCCCATCTTTTAAAGGGCCCAAAGGTTGCACATGGAATTTATATATATTTTTTTTTTCTTTTTATTCTTGGGTAGTGTCTTTTGTTTTATTTAAGCAACCCCATACTGTGGTTTTGTAGTTTTTAAAACCTAGCCTAAAATATATAAGATTAAAGTTATTTTCTTTGTTGTGGAATTTCTGAGAGTCCTGCCTGTAGGATTTTAGTGTACTGTGCATTTACTTTTTTTTTTTTTTGGATACGGGAGGAGAAGGGGATTAAAGTGCAATGCCATTTTATAAATGCACGGTCTAGTTTATTAATAATAATGAGCCTAATCTTTACTAATAGACCTTGTGCAGCATAATAGAAAATATGGCATTGCATGGAGCAATTGTGTAGTCCAAATTCCTTTTCTGCCTATCAATGTGATATCCCAAAGGCAAGATGGGAAAAAAAGGGCTGCGTGGCTGGCTTGCAGTTTTTTAACCTTGTTTCAATGTACTCTCTACAGGTCACGTTTTAAGGTTATATTTCTTCCATTTGTAGAGGTGGGGTACTTACTGGTTTCGTCGCAAACTCTATTGAGTACCGTAAATTGGGCTGTATCAAAAGCTGCTGTATTAGAGTTCTGTAAAGATATTGGGCGAGGTGGAACATCCGATTTATATTTTAACTTCTATAATACTTGACAACGGTTTAATGGAAATTTAAGAGTAGGTGATCGAAAAATAGAGAATGGTCTTGCACATTATACAAAATACTGTAGCTGCAGTTTTAATAATTGAAGTTTACACCTTAAAACCTCCTTTTATGGCCCAACTGCATTCCTTTCCCCTTAACATATATATTTTTTTTTTTTTTTTTTAAATTCCCTCTCCTCAAAAGATGTTAAAAATATATTCCAGAATTATTTAAAATTTGGGAGAAATTTTGTATGTCCGTGCAGATCTAAATCTTCTAAAAATGTCTCACTCTTATTTTATTTTTATTTTTGTTTTTTGTTTTTTACACTTTTAGATTTCAACCAAAATGTAAAGCGTTGTAATATGAAATAAAATGCACACTTGAAATTTTCTACACTCTGGACTCTTCATGCACTTGCTTGGATCTGTTTGTGTTTTTGTTTTTACTAAATTCTCACTCACACCACATAGTGGAATCTGATCCTGGTGAAGTACAAGCAAACTAGAACGTTTTTTGTTTTATGTGAAAAGTAATGTGACGGATATACTTCACATTGATCCTTGAGTTTTTCTTTATTGGGTTTTTGTTTGTTTGTTTTTTTTTTTGTCATGCAGGCAACACATTTGCTCGCCACTATTTACTTGTCATCACCTGTGTAGTAAAGCTTGTACAATTGTACGTGTTTATAGACTGAAAAAATTTCTGGTAATGGAGTGTTGTCATATTGAATGAAGGCCACTTTATGCTCTAAAATTCACGTGATCATCTAATCCTTATTGTTAATCCAGTGTACCGAGACATAACTACAACACAAGTGCTGACTGTCACATATTTGTGGATAGATCAGACTCCCACACCAATACAAAACATTGTAAAGTAGCTTAAAGACACTAGCAAGAGATTGCAACTCTACATAGGTAGTGAAATGAAGTTATACCAAATAATGCAGCATGTAGATACAGCTTTGATGCATACAAAAAACTTTTCCATGTATAGAAGATTAAAATAGGTAAAGGAAACCAGGCAATATAAGCTGCAACACATTGCAGATGGAATTTTTTGTTTTTTTGTTTTTTTTGGACAGAGCTGCTTACTACAAATTAATACAAAAAGTAAACCACGGATGTAGAAAGGATTACATGTAACGATCTATATTCAACTACACCATGCCTACCAACATTTTCAATTGGTTAGACAGGGGGACTTTAAATTTTCAGGGTGTGCGTGGGGTGTAGCCAGGGGCAGGGCTGTTCTGAGATAGATTAGGTGGCTTACTTATAATTTCTGCAAATAAAATTTAATTTTAGAACAAATTTACAGATTTTTTTTGATTTTTTTTAAACCCAGTCATTGTAGCTTAAGGACACTACTGTGAGTATGATAACTGTGGTGCTTTATACTCACACCAACCATATGGAGCCTCTTGAAAAGAGACATGGGTATTTGGGTCCAATCTAAGGACTGTTTGTCTTAAAAAAACAAGTATTTATCCAATTTCAGTTTAAACATCTGTAGTGACTCTGACAAAACCACCTCTTCAGGCAGAGAATTTTATATCCTTATTGCTCTTACTGTAAAAAAAAAAACAAAAAAAACTTGGGGTATGCTACATACAGTACCAGCAATGTTTGGGACACTTTTGGTACTCGAGCAAATGGTGGATCCCAGATGGAGTGAACTGGACTGTACCTGCGTGTCCATAATTGTGGAGTGTTCAAACAACTTGTTGCTATCTTAATAAATAGCAGGAGTATATTACAGGAATGCTGACCCATTTTTGCACCAATGTTGCAGAGTAGGAAGTTCTGTTGCCTTGTGTTCACCTGTGCCACCGTATGGTAGGGCCTGCCCTGCACACACCATACATTTCTGTGAAATTTCATGTTATGGAGATGTGATATTCATACTGCTGTGCACTGTAAGTTTTATTGCTATAAAGTTCTATTATTCCAGGTATCTTCCCTCATTTACCACCCTAATCTTTTCACCTCTTATTCCACATTTCTACATTTCATCTCAACCTAATTTCACATCCCTTCCAATCATTCCATGACCATGTTCCACCCCCATTCTCCATCACCACCTTTTGTTTTTACATTTTCTCTTTAAAGTAACACTATATAATGTCAGGAACACAAACCTGACCACCACTTCCAGACAATGCAGAATAACAAAACCGAGACTGTACTTGTATAACTATTGTAAACAAAGTTACGAGTTTTCTCTGGGTGATATGCCAAATACCACAGTCTAGGCCCAGTCACAGCAAAACATGTCAGAAAAAGATAATGCGATCTCTAGCCAAGAGCCACGAGGAGATGGTTAGTACTCCAGCAATACGGTTTTTGGTTTTATTTAAAGCATAAAAAGTGCATTAAGTCCCAGGTCAAGGATGGCCAATAACAAAGAGATCAGCTGCACCAAAGAGGGTAAAGAGGACGAACTGCAACTTGTAAGAAGGCCTTGGTGAATCCCACATAGATAATGGATATGAACAGTGGATATTGGGGAGTTTCATCTCCAATCTAAGCAAGGAAGGTGCTGAACCTGAGCAACTCTGAGTGGTGAAATCCAGCACCAGGATTTGCACAGAGCCATTGCGAACCAACCCTAGGTATATTTACGCCTCGTTTGGTAGCCTGGCCCACTGGGATCTTAACTAGGAGTAACTGAGCACAGCCAGATTGCCTATCTATGGTGATTATCCATGGTCTATCTGTGGTGACTGGGGAATGAGCTGAGAAACATCCTACTCGTCACTGGAGTTCTGGAGAGAGTCTGCATCCCCATGCACAGATCTCTGTGAATTCTCTCTCTTTCTGTGCAATGCATGTGCAGTGTGTCTAGAACCAAGATCTGTAAAACTTATGTTCTTAAATGGCATTCATTTGTACCATCACCTCAGGCCAGTTGCCTGTGTCTCCTGGGTAATGGTGTATAAACCGCATATACACCTAACTGAATGTGTACTTGTCATCCATGTGATTTATGGATGGGTGTTTTACTTTAATTTTCTTCAATAGCTTGAAGGAGCAGTCTAACATTAAAAAGAACTATAATTTAATGTTTGTGTTCTTTAAGTGTCTAGAAGATTTGTGCAAAAGTCTGTTTGATTCGGAATCCTTTTCAGTATCGATTGAGCTGGTTTGTCCAAATAAAATTCATATCAATCTAACCTCTAGACTTCACAGGTAAAACCACAAGTAAAATGATTCACAATCGATTTGTTCGCTGATTGACAGGAATGTTTTATATGGACAAATTGGTTTAAGCTAATTTTTTGCTCAAGTCTAGTCTCTACCCAATGCTTCTCATAGAACCACTCTCTACCAGTTTGTTGCTTTAAATCTAGTACTTATCTGTGAGAAGCAATGGACGCTTTTAGAGTCCTCATGCTGAATAGGATGACACCAAACTGAATATCTTTATTTTCAAAGATATTCATTCAGGAAGTGCTTCCAGTGTCTGTCAGTATGAAGGTCAACAGAGGATTGTTATTTGACAAATGTAAAGGCTTGGCCTGCAGTTGTGGGAGGGGCATGGTACCTATTTAAACCCCCCTACTCACCTTCCTCCATCCCGAACGTTTTTTAGCGACTTGCATGTTGCCATTTCCGGCCGTCATTACCTCCCCCTTACCTGGTCCTCGTGGCTCCATTGCCTGGCCTGCTGTTTCCCGGCTGCTCGTTTGTCCGCAGTCCTCCTGAGGCTCGGCTCCCTTTCTTGCTGTCCAGTGCGATTCTAGTGGCCTCCGCGAGCATCCTGCTTCCTGTGGTCTTGTGGGCAAGTAGTGATGGATTGCAGGTGTGCATGTATTGGACGTTTGGATGGTCCTTTTCGTGGGCTGGCACCGTCGCGGTAGCGTGGCTGTGGATGTTTGGGCTAGCTGTCCGGAGGAATTGTCTCGCCCTCCGCGTCGCTCCCATCGGCCATGACTCTGGGGGGGAGGGTTCGGCTCTGCTGCGGCGCTGCTCGCCTCCACTGTTGGCTCGGCTTGCTGCGCGTTCTCTTTCCGGCATTCCTGGCTGTCTGCCCCCCTTGCTGACTGCGGCGCTATCGCACGTGCACTTATGCACTCGCTGGCGGTCGTGCATCCATGTGGCCACAGTTATGTTGGGTGCAGTTTCGGGAGGAAGGTAGGGACCATTATAATAGGTCAACTGCTCAGGTACTGTATACATAAATTTATATTTCTTCTTAAATTTATTTTTACAAAGGTGAATTTCAGCATACCCACTTCCTGCTTGTCCACGGTTCCTGGGTTAAACCATGCCCTTGAACACCTCCCAGGAACATTTAGCTGGATATTCATTACATGTTTTATCTTTGTGCTATTATATAGTGGGTGCAGTGTTTTACCTAGAACCTCCAGATGTGCAGTTACATAGCTGAAAAGAGACTTGCGTCCATCAAGTTCAGCCTTCCTCACAAATGTTGATCTAAAAGAAGGCAAAAAACCTAGTCTGAAGCGCTTCCAATTTTGCCACAAACTAAGTGCCATGATACCTTTCTTTAGAACAGGCGCCCAAAACTGCACAGCATATTTAAGATGTGGTCTTACCAGCGATTTATAAAGAGGCAAAATTATATTTTCATCCTGAGAATTTATGCCCCTATTTATACATGACAAAACCTTACTGGCCTTAGCAACTGCAGATTGACATTGCATATTGCTGCCTAATTTGTTACCTATAACAATTTCCAAATCCATCTGTGTGTGTGTGTGGTTATCCCTAATTCACTACCATTTAGTGTGTAAGTTGCTTGTGCATTCTTAACCCCGAAGTGCATAACTTTGCATTTCTCTACGTTAAATTTCATCTGCCATTTTAGTGCCCAGTCCCTCAATCTATCCAAATCCCTCTGCAGCAAAGCAATATCCTGCTCACATTTTATTACTTTACAAAGTTTTGTGTCATCTGCAAACACTGATACATGGCTTTCAATGCCTATTTCAAGATCATTTATAAATGTTAAATAGAAGCGGTCCCAAAACAGAACCCTGAGGGACACCACTTACCACTTTTGTCCAGCCTGAAAATTTACCATTAATTACAACTCGTTGTACTCTATCCTTAAGCCAATGTTCTACCCAAAAACAAGAATATTCACCTAGACCAATTTCTTTTAGTTTGAAGACTAACCTATTGTGAGGAACTGTATCAAATGCCTTGGCAAAATCAAAGTAGATCACATCCACTGCAACACCCTGATCTATACTTCTACTTACTTCTTCGTAGAATGCAAGTTAGTTAGTTAGGTTAGTTTGACATGACCTATGTTTCATAAAACCATAATAAAAGTTCTTCCCAATGAATTCCTGAATATTATCCCTTAATAGCCATTCAAATATTTTCCCAATTACAGAAGTTAAGCTCGCAGGTCTCCAGGCAAGGATTTTGAACCCTTTTTAAATATAGGAACAATATCTGCCTTCCTCCAATCCTCCGGTACAACACCTGTTCTAGTCTATTTAAGTGCTACTTTAATTTCGCTACAGTTCACAGTTTAGTGAATAATTCCCATAGCCCCTTGGTGTCACCACTGCCTTTTCCTTTTTAACACTGTATGTGGAAGTACAATATAATCTGCCCCTGTAGTTATTGTTAATTATAAAATGCCAACTAATTCTTGTGCACCTCCCCCCCCGCCCCCATATACAATTTAAAATATATATATAAAAAAACTAAATTAAATAATAATAATAATGGAATTTTAATCTATACTTATATTAAAAAAAGAAAAAAAGAAAAGAAAACGAGAGGGTGTATCTTGTTTGAGTTTCCTTCCCTACCGTTTTCTTTTCATTTCACACAGTACGTCCCCTCTCTCACTCATTACCCTCCCCTCTTAGGTAGCTGTTACTTGCTGTCAGGGTACTAGGTGTCCAGTAGTGGTAATTTCCCCCCGGCTTCTTCGTCTTAGGTTAGTGGTTCCGCGATGCCAACACCCATCCTCATACTCGGAGGTACTATGCCCCTCGGGCCAAATCATAGTTAGTCGCCTCGCATTGTGGCACAGGTAGGGCCTCACCTGTCACTCCCATTCTATCTTAAGTTTAACTGTCACCAAGAGGCCGCCACCCCGCCACAACGTTTCAGTGGCCACGATATCCCCTCGCACCAATGCATAGATAGAGCCTCTCACGCCGCTTGGCATCTAGCAGGGCCTCACCTGTCACCAAACCTATTTTTTAATTGTTTTGCCTTTTGGCTTAGCTAGTATGCCAGCACTCCCGCGCACAATCACACACATACACGCTCGCACTGGGTCTCGTGACCCCCGTGGGGTTTACACCACCGCGGTTTCTGTTGCCTACTGCCGAGCTTGCTCCTTTCAGCCTGTCCGCCTGGACTCTGACGTGCTTACTCTGCTTTTGGTTATAGTCGGCCCTGCGGTATTTCCTCGTTCACCCTCATGTTTTCGATACACGTTCAGCACATCCGTCCTCTCTCACACTACCTTCCCTCCCCTCTTAGTTAGCTGTGGCTGGCTGTCAGGGTCCTAGGGTCCACTAGTTTGTAATTCCTCCCCCCCCCCGGCTTCTTCACCTTAGGTTAGTGGTCCCGCGACGCCAACACCCATCCTCATACTCTGAGGTACTACGCCCCTCGGGCCAAATCATAGTTAGTCGTCTCGCATTGTGGCATAGGGAGGGCCTCACCTGTCACTCCCATTCTATCTTATGTTACCTGTCACCGAGAGGCCAACACCCCGCCACAATGTTCAGTGGCCACGTTATCCCCTCGTGCCAATTTATAGATAGAGCCTCTCACTCCACTTGGCATCTAGCAGGGCCTCACCTGTCACCAAACCTAGTTTTTAATTGCTTCGCCTTTTGGTATTAGCTAGTATGCCAGCACACATACACATACCTACACACACGCATTGGGTCGCTTATGCGCTGCCTATTCGTCTCTTTTTCTAGCAGGTCTCCGCTGCTAGGTGTTGGCGTGGTATCGTCCGCCTGGGCTCTCTGGCTTGGTCTGGTACCCTTCATGCTGTGGTGCTTCGGCTACTCCTACCTTTTTTCGGGTCCTGGGCCCTTCCTTACTTCGCTGCGGTTCTCGCGAGTCCCTACCCCCCCCCACACCCGGCAGCCTTTCGGACAGCTGAACTCTCAGCCCGCACTCTACAGGTAACGCTGTTCCTGGTGGGGGTCCCCGAGTTCGCTGTTCTCTGTTTTGCCTCCTGGTTGTCTTCGCTGCTGTCGTCTATGGGGCGGTGTCGGATGGCAGTTTGGGGTAACTGGCATCTGCCACTTTGGCTGGTTCCGATCCAGGCTTCCAGCACCTTTCAGGGGCCCGACCATGGGCTGCCAGCCTGGTTAGCTCGTGGTCGTTATTTTTCGCGTCTGGCTCTTTTTTACATTGCTCGCGGTTTTATGTGTTCGGGCCTTCTTCCCCTTTGAGGCTCCTTCTTCGCGTATACTGATACTGTTCCTGTAGCTATGTTGTCTGCATTTTGGTTTTGCTTCTTTTACCATCTCTAACTTGCATCAACTCTACCTATCCGGTTCACAACTCCACATGTTGTACAGGTTTACCATTCATACGCAGTTTCATGTCCTCATTCCAGACTATTCGCATACTCAAGGCGTTTCAGGTTCCAGGGAATTTCAAATTTACAGATTTCACATCAACATCCAAGTATCTCATTCACTATCAGACTTATTAAATGCCTGTCACTATGAACCGGGCATCAACCTTCAATGTAGTGCAATAACCGCTTGATCCAAGGAAAATCTGACTGCCATTATGGGGTCAAGAAGGCATTTTTTCCCAGCTTGTTGCAAATTGGCAGCGCTTCAAACTGGGTTTTTCGCCTTCTTTTGGATCAACCGTTTAAACACAAATGTGAGGAAGGCTGTACTTGATGGGCACTAGTCACTTTAACTTTGTAATCTAGTTGTTGAGCCACCATACCTGCTCCCACAGTTTCTTGGGTCTCACATACTTTCCCACAGCCACCATGTCCTTCTTGCAGCATTATCTTAGGAAGTCTCACCTATTCATGCAGCCTACTGATTACCTTCTCTACCCCACATTTATTCTACCCTAGGGGGCCCAACACGTTAAATATACCTTACTTCCCCTTGCACAATTAAGAGTGCCGGTTAAAGTGCTGGGCAACTATTTCTTCGCTCTGCATTTACCATACAGCTAGGCAATTAGGTTTTGTTGATTGTTTTTCGTTTCTGACAGGTACCCAATTTTTGCCATCTTTTATTACAGGCCTACCATTACGTCTGTTCCGGCACACCTCAACCGACTTATTTCCCTTTAACTTCCTATACGGTCTTATTTGCCCCTCACACAAATGTTAAGGCTTGGCCTGCAGTTGTGGGAGGGGCATAGTACCTATTTAAACCCCCCTACTCACCTTCCTCCATCCTGTACGTTTTTAGCGACTCGCATGTCCCCACCCTCCACTCCCTTTAGCTATACTTTCATTACACCTCATGGGTGGGCCTTTTTTTATTACAGGCCCACCACGACGTCAGTTCCGGCACACCTCTACCGACTTATTTACATTTTTACTTCCTATATGGCCTTATTTGCCCCTCACACAAATAAAAATATTGATGTTTCTCAGACACATCAATGTTTACATTCTCAGATAATAGTGGCAGCATCTGTGCACCAAAAGAACTTCATTACAATTTAGTGGTTTTAGTGCTTTGTGTCCTTTTAATAGTTTATAATATTATTTTAGCTCATGTTCAAAGGGACCGTCTAGGCATCAAAACTATTTTAGCTTTATTAAGCAGTTTAGGTATATAGATTATGTCCCTGTAGCAGGGCCAGACTGGGAATAAAAAGCAGAAAAACATTTCATGCCAGCCCTCTAATGCATTGCATCAGTATTGTGTGCAGATATCACTCCAGCTCCATCTCCCTCTTTCCTCTCGCTCCATCTCTCTCTTCCAGGAGCACAGGAGCACTATATTCTCTCCAGTGCCATCTCCCTCTTCCTGAATTGAACTTTAATCACACACAGGAGGTTCCTGTAGGGTCTAGAAGGCTATTTACAGAGCAGGTGATACTAAATTCTAAATTAAACTGAAAGTGCAATAAAGGAAGTTTGAAATTTAGATGACTTTATGGGAAGTGTTTAGGAAAGCTGTGCAATTCACATGCAGGTAAGTGTGGCTAGGGCTGCATAAACAAAGTGATATAACTCCTAAATGGAAGTGAAGTGAATGGTGAGACTGCAGGGGCATGATCTATACATCAACACTGCTTCATTAAACTAAAGTTATTTTGGTCCCTTTAAATCTCTAACAATCCTTTTGTATTTAGCAACATTCAATTGATATTTCCATCTCAGCTGGTTGGTAATTTGGAGTTTGTAGATGTTTTTCACAGATCCATTTTAAATGTCAACCTTATGCTACATACATAATCCTGTAAAAATTTATAAATTTATTTTAAAATTTTAAAACCACTACATAAAAATAATTGTTTCTGCTAAAAAAAAAGGTCATACACTACACAAATAACAACCTCAAACTAAAATATCATGGAAACAATGACTTTCTTGTGATTTTGACATTAAGAATATATTAGTGTCCTGTACCTCACATATATAATTTAATTGAATATTTTCTTTAAGTGCTCCCTGGTTGAATGCATTGCTTTGTTCTCCCCTGGGGTACTGAAAAGGTTAAAAACATTTAACCATTTACTATATTGGACAGCTTGGCCAGTGGCATACACATGACCCATGGGGCGAAAATTGATCCGTGGGCCCCCCCCCCCCACTTGACTTTAGTGTTGCCAGGGAGCCTTCAGGGGGCAGACCGGGATAACACCCCCAGTCCAAAAGGGGGGGCTCCAATCTGCAGCACAGGTCTAGGGCAGGGATCGGCCGCGTCCCCACTCACCCATATTCTCTAGGCCACCCAGCCAGCTTTGGTTTCCTCAGTAACGTGGACACCCGGGGGCATCAAGACACGCACCGGCAGCACCCTGGTCAGTTCAGGAGCACCCGAGGAGCGCCCGGCGTCGTCGATGAGGGTACAGATTGCTATATTATCTGCCTTTGTTAGAACTGTAAATGAAAAATAGAAAAAAGAAATAGAAAAAAATGTCTGTGTAGCAATAACTCAATCAAAGTGGCAGAATTAATTCCAATTTTGTGATATATTGTGATTGCTTTATTTTTTTGGTCTATGCACTACCTAACATTTAAGATAAGTAGTCCTTACATTGATTCCCTACTCTTGGTTGCCTCATTGTGTTCCCAATTGCTGCATTTTTTTTTTCCATTTCTGCTTTCCTCCTTGTGACAAACGTTCCTTCCCACAAACATTTGCCACAAACTCCTGGAGGAGTGTGGAAGCTAGCCTCCTGCCCACTGACTATGGTCCAGGTCTGAGACTCTGTGCTGGAGTTACCCTGCCCAGCTGCCATTAGCAACTTTCCCTGGGTGCCCCTGGTTCAGCACTTTCCCTACATTCAAATGAAACCAAACGCTAGCTCCCTGGCGGCCATTCGCATAAACCAAACCCACGAATGGTCCTCAGCGGTACTTAACCGCGACTGTTATGGAACTAATTTCGACATGAGGTGACCGTGCGGTTCCCAGACAACTTGGTCCGGGGTTTTCAACCACTTTGCAACACGCCAGGAGATTGCTTTTTGGAGGGAAGGAGCCTGAGACTAAGGAGAACAAACTCTACCTTAGAGCCAGGCGGAGCACCCCATATTTCAGATGCAGGAGCTCCCAAATGTTGACCGGCAAAAGAACCAAACGCCCCTTAACTATTTTGGGCATAAGACCATGTGTGTGGCTGGTCAGAATTTTAACAGTGGCGTTTTCCCCACACTGCATGGATCTGAGCACTATTTGGACAACTTGGGCGCTCAGATCAGGGATATTTGGGGATATATAATATGTGGGGTTATTGTATGTTTTTATTATGTTTTGAGGTACTTTAATATTTTTGTTGGGCTCTCTGTTCCTGGGAGATAATTAGCTTACCGGTGTTTAATAAATTATATCCCAGGTCCAGAGAATCCTAGGAGGGGCTTGTGTGGAATACAATGGAGACCCCATGCTGGGGTCTGTGCATAAAAGGCTGAGTGTGGCTCATTAAAATCAGTTGTACTCCCAGAACTATGTGTTGTTTAGTTACTGGCAGAAGAAAAGGCTAATCAATGCCCAGGACCTTGTTCCAGCTCGTGGAGGACTCGGCAGGGAAAGTCCTTGTAAGGACTACAGCTCCCAAGACTGTGTGCCGTCCAGTCCCTGGGAGGGAATAGAGCTAGTCCCCTATCCTGTTCTAGGATGGAGAGGCTCCAGAAGGACCCAAGTTAAGCCACGGCGGCAGGAGCCGAAGTGTTGAGGGTTTCCCCAGTTCCAGCTAGGAAGCAGTCCATGGTGGTCTAGTCCTCCGCTACACTCCTCCTACCGTGGTCCGCACAGCCACGCTACATGGAAGGAGGTATGGAGGCACAGGAAGGGAGAGTGGGTGAAACCACAAAAGGATGGTGGGGGGAGTAGAAGAGCCCACAAAGGGACTGTTGGGGGCCATATCTCCTCTGCTTCATACATAAGTAGACTAGGGAGCAAGATCTCAAGCTCTGTTAGAGGTCACGAAAAAACATTTATCAGCTCTGCTTCAATCTCAACATCACTCTCAAGGTAGAATGCCTTCTGGGTGCAACCAATCTTACAGTAGATTGGTTTTCCAGACATTGGAGAGACGAGCAATTGGAGGTAAGCAGAATCTGTCTTTCAACATCTTTTCCAGCTCAGGTGTGCGCTTTCGGTGGACCAACCACCAACTGCCGCCATTCTTCAGTTGCCTGTCGGATCCGCATTGCACTTCAGTGGATGCATTCTCCAAGAATGGCATATGTCTTCCCACGATTCAAAATACTTGGGAGGATCCTACACCAGATCAGATGTGAAAGGGTGCCAATCTTACTGATTACTCCCATTTGGAAAGCCTTGGTACCGGAGCTTCTGGAATTATCAAACAAAAGCTACATTCCTTTGCCTTCCTCATTTTCTCACCAATCCTCTTGGATCTCCTCATCCTCTAATCTTCCAGGACCTTCTACAGCTACTGGCCTAGACACTTTCCAGGGCACCTAAAATGTTGACGGAGTATCGCAGGAGACTAAGGACCTTTTATGGGACTCATGGTCTCCCAAAACAAGACATAGTTATCTTTCCACATGAAATTCTTGGTGTAGCTGGTGTTTAGAGGGGAATCACAAAATCCCTTTACAGCACCCGTGTCTGTGATTCTTAATTTTTTTGTACAAAAAACAAAACAAAAACAAATCACACTTATTTTCACAAATGCTTGGTGAGTATAACATAAAAATTCAACTTAACTTGTAGCCAACAGCTTTCCAAGGTAACCTTCCCAGCGCGTTACCATATTAACAAAATATATGTATAAAGAAGATATGGATGCAGCTGTATCATTTGAAAAGAATATATCAACAAAACATAGTGTGATATTTTAAAGAAGATAGGAGATACTGTTCGTTATAATGGGACTTGGGGGAGTGAGGAATTCAACAGCAGTCTACACCAGATGCACAGGAAATGTGTCATTGCAGTTCATGCCAGAACGCACGCCGAACACACATGAATCGGATCTCTCATCACTGCCAGCCTATTTAAGAGGTCTCCATGCAAATTTGTTGGTTTACTCTACTTTGTGACTTTTTATTTTTATTTATTTATTTATATTGCTGCTATCTCTTCACTTGTTTGAAGGATTTTGTTGGTTCTTCAGGATTGTGACCCTGTTGGAGTTCCACTAGTTGTGGAGATACGTCTACTATTTTAATTCTTCTGTAAGTGCAATACAATACATTTTTCATTGTCTTTATTTTACTTCACTATTGGGGCCCTTTTTTTCCTTCTCATATTTTTACCAAGAAACATCCTGCTTAGAAGATCTACATTCCAGTACCCTTGGAAGGGTGATGAGCCTGAATTTTTTGTTTAGTTTTTTCTTTATACTCACAGGGGTGTTTTTTATTACTGTATTACGCTATGTGTTTATGATTTTTCCATACTCCATCCAGCAGTATGCCCAAATGAGGACCTGTTTCTGGGTGATGAAGGTAGAGGAGACTTGATGAGGTCCGCCCGGGACCCCTCGCCCATGCCAGGTCCCAGCGTGGAGCAGGATGCAGATGCTGAAGGGTCCCCTTTACTTACCTTGCTTGCAGGCTGGATTTTACAGGGTGCTTGTTGCGGTGGAGCGCCGCCATCCGTAGGGTCAGTTGCGTGGGATTGCAGGACCATGGGGAGCCTTGTCGTCTACGGCAACATTTTTGGGCTCTGTTTGTTTGAGGAAGTGTGCGCCTGTGTTGGGAGTGTGGCGGCAACACTGTGGGTATGTGTTTAACAGGTTTGTGTACCGTAGCTTGCTGCTCCCTGGATGCTATTTTCCTCCAAAACTTAGTGAATAGGTCATTCAGCTTGGCCATGACATCAGGCTTCTCTACATTTTGAGCACATGTGGCGGAGGCCATTTTGCAGGACTTCGCTTCTTCATGCTGCTCGCAGAGCTCCACCTTTGGGGCCATTGCAGATGGGTTTGCCTCTCAGGATTGGACCGGGAAAACCCCCACCGGTTCGGTGGGAGAGCAGGGTGTCGGTTGGTCTGCACCTCCAATGTAGGGACGGGGAGAGCGGCCGCCTCTCCCCGGCTCCAACATCTGTAGGCTGCATCTAGCCACCTTGGGCTCCCGATCTCCAAAACGCTCGGGTAAGGCTTGTCACCAGGTCACCCCTAATTTAGTTAATGCACCCGTTTGTTTTTGTCTCGAGTTTGGCGAGTATCTGTAGGAAATCGGCAAGTAAAGTGGGAGCCCAGCTTTAATGTGACCGCTCAGCTTGCTGGCTTGGCCCTGCCCCCCCTATTCTTTACTGTTTGCATTTTTTGGGTGGTGGTGTGAGGTACACCTGGGATATCACTATTTTAATTTATTATTATTTATTTGATTTTGTCTCACATATTAGTGTGCATATATTGTTTTTATTCTTAATTTTTTTATCTACTTTGTTTTCAATGTTATTAGATCTGCTATCTCCACAGCTCATATCCCATCCCAGTGAGTTCCAGTCAGTCAGCATTCCTTGATCTGTTGGCTTATTCTGGGCATCAAGATGGCAAGCTTCCTTGCACCAAAATATATGCATCTTTGGGACGTGGGACGATTTTTGTGTTATTGGCCAAACAATGGATCATTATCTCTTTGACAACTGTCAGTGTCTCTCCCCCCCAGCCCATCTGTGTGTCTCTTTCTCCCCCTAAGTTCCTTTGTGTGTCTCTTTCTCCCCCCAAACCCCTCTGCATGTCCATTTATACCCCCAGCCTATTTGTTTGTCTTCTTCTCCATCCAGCCCCTCTGTGTGTCTTTTTCTGCCTTTCAGCCCTTCTGTTCGTCTGTGTCCTAGTCAGACCCTTTGTATGTCTCTTTCACCCTTTTCCAGTCCTTTGTTTATTCCCCCTACTCCTAGACCACATTAGAAGATCCTCTACCATTGTCCATGTGTCCCTACTACAAGGAGTGATTAACAGGAGAGGGAGCTCTGCGCTCCCTCCTGCCAGTCAGCCAGACTTTGCACTCCCTGGGCCGGTGATATACTGTTCCCCCCCGCCCCTCCCCCTGCAAAAAGCATCTTCACCTGTGTGCCTCTTAACCCATTTTTTTAAGCTTACCCCCTTTAGTATATCATATCCCCTACACTATGGTTGGGGTCCATGCATAGCGCCTCAATGTCTGTGAGTGTTCTCTAGGTGGAGTTGACTGGGGTGATAGTGCAAATTCAGTTAGTTGTTTATATCGGAAGTGCAGCATGTATGATGGCTTTTTGTTCAGTGTCATGGACTCCAGGGGTCTGACCCTCCCATTGTCAAGGACATGGCAGATCCAAGGTATCTCCTGTCCTACTAGGTGTTTAAAGGTTCCCGGTGGGTAGGCCATATTGTGGTCAAGGGGGAGTAGTGGTGATGGTGCAGTGGTGAATGTTAGGGGTGTGGCCATTGTGTGCCAAACATGCATGGTCGCTTTGATGAGGGGGTGGGGAGCTGCCAGCTGTCTGCCATTGTTGGTGGTCCACCCAGGGGAGTACAGAAACCGGCCTGCCTATTTGCGCCGACTCTATGCTCTTCTATAGTTTGGATACTCCCTGTTTGGTCCATTCTACTATATGTTGAATGTGCGTGGCTCTGTAGTATAGCCTAAAGTCCGGCAAGGCTAATCCCCCTCTTACCTTCGGCAAGATGAGGACGTCATGTTTGATCCGTGCTTTGAGTTTATGCCAGGTAAATCTAAGGGTCAGGGAGTGGAGAGAGGTGAAAAATGCCTTGGGGATAGTGATGGGTACAGTTTGGAACAGGTAAAGGATCCTGGGTAGGAAGTTCATTTTGAGCACCCCAACCCTGCCAAACCATGAAAGGCGGAGCTTTGCCCATGCCTCAAGATCTCTGTGGTTTGTAGTCAGAAGTTGCTGGAAGTTGGTTAGATATAGCTGGGTAAGGTCTTTTGTGTTCACAATGCCTAGGTATTTCAGGGCAGTGTCAGACCATTGGAAAGGAAGTCTTTGTTTAAGAGTCAATGCTCTTGTCTGGTGGATGGATATGTTGAGGATAGTGGACTTGATGAAATTAATTTAGATGTTTGACAGCACCCTGTATGTCGTTAATTCCTCCATAATAACAGGCAGAGAGGTCTCAGTGTTGGTGACGAAAAACAGCAAATCATCTGCGTATGACCCCGCCTGCAGCCCCGGGTTATTCCGTATTGAATTCAGAAAGGGTTCGAGGGCAAGGACAAAGAGCGAGAGGGGGCACCCCTATCGGGTTCCATTACGGATCAGGAAATGCTCAGTGAAAGCCCCATTGATGCACACATGTGCCGTAGGTGTCGAGTACAGGGCCCTAATCTAGCTCATCATGTAGGGCCCCATGCCCAATGTCCGGCCGGCGTCCACCGACATGCCAGAAAAGCCAGGCATGATAGCAGAATATTGCTGAGCGGCACTCCCCTCTATCGGAAGGTAATTATCCCAGTTTTGTCACATGGAGACGAAGAATACAGTAGCCCAAAGTGGCCGGACATAGGTCTGGGAATAGTTGGATGGGGTGATCCTGGGGTGGCTCGGTTCAGGAGGCCATTAAAGATTGTGGTAAGTAGGCCTTTGATTTGATCGGTAGTCTCTTCACCTTCGGGTAGGCCTCTGATTCTCAGGCTTTGCCTGCGGCCCCTTGTATCAAGGTCCTCTATATGATCTGCCATAGATTGCAGCTGGGACGTTTGGCGTTCCAGTGTGGAGATAGTGGCAGCTTGGGCCGCCAGATGGCTGTCACTTGGGTAATACGGTCCACAATTCCCTGCAGGTCTGATCGCATCAGCTGTAGGTCTGCTCTAAGGGAAGCATGTAGTGTTGAGGTCGCCTCTTCGAGGTCTGCTCGGGTGGGGAGCGCTTTTAGGAAGGCCAGCCAGTCCGGTGGTGGTAATGCTGGAGGCTCTTCTTGGCCTGGCGAGGTCGAACGTGGCATAGAGGCCTCAGAGTTTTGGTAGGCCTCAGATGACACCTGGGAGGCTGGGTCCACCGGCGCGGCTAAATACTGCCACATGGAGGTGTGGAGCGCGGTCTGGCGGGACACCAATGTTTTGGGGATGCCCACTGTTTTGGACTTCTTTTCCATTTTTAGCTCTGTCGGTGCAGTCCCAGGATTGGCAGTTCAGGGTCAAGCCGCCATTCTGCTCCACCGCTTGGCCATGCCCCAGACCTCTTTGTGTCTTTTACTTTTCCCAGCTCCTTTGTGTGCTCCTTTTCTCTTTCACCCTTAGCCCCGTCTATCTCTCCCCAGCTCCTCTGTGTCTCTTTTTCCTCTTCTCCGACCCCTGTGTGTCTCTTTCACCCCCAGCCTCTTTGTATTTCCACCCCCAGGCCCTTCTGTGTGTCTCTTTCATCACCAGCCCCTCTGTGAGTCTCTCACCCTCAGGCCCATCTGTGTGTCTTTCTCCCCTTCATGTCCCTTTGTGTGTCTTTCTCCCCACTCAGGCCCCCCATGTGGGCCACTCTCCCCTCCATGTCCTTTAGTGTTCCTCACCCCTCCATGTCCCTGAGTGGTCCTCTCCCCTATCCCTAAGTGTTCCTTTACCCTCCCTCCCCTGTCTTCCTCTCCCCCTTTATCTGTCTCTTAGTGCCCCCGCTTCCCCCTTAATGTCCTCCTCCCCCTTAGTATTCTTTTTCCCTTCTCTCCCCTTTCCCATTAGTGTTCCTTCCCTCCCCCTCTTAGTGTTCTTGTACCCTCCCTTCCTTCTCTTTTAGTGGTTCTCTATTCCCCTTAGTGTGCCCTTTCTTTCCATCCCCTGTCCCTTAGAGTTCCTCTCCCCCCCTTACCTGTCTCTTAGTGCCCCCGCATCCCCCGTAGTGTTCCTCTCAAACCCCCCTCTTAGTGTTCCTCTCCCTTCCCTCTCTTTTAGTGGTGTGTCTCCCTCCCCCTTAGTGTTCCTTTTCCCTTCCTTCCCATTTCCCTTGGTGCCCACCCCTTAGGGTTCCTCTCTCTCCCCCCCCTTAGTGGTCCGCTCCCTTCCATCACTTGCATGCTTATTACCTTTCTTGTAGCATGGCCGAGCAGTGCAGATCGCGGTACAGGGGCTTCAGTTTCCAGTACTCGGCTGGACTGACAGGAAGTGTTCTCTCAGTGAGCACTTCCTGTCAGTCCAGCTGGGTACAGGAAACTGAAGCTCCAGTACTGCGGTCCGCTCTGCTCGGCCACGCTACATTGACTGACTGGTAGGGGGAGCACTGTGCACTTCCCTCCTGCCGGGTCACTCTAATCTAGCGGCCCCTGGGCCGTTGCGCTCTAAGGTGGCTGCCTGATGCATGCGCCAGCCCTGTGTACAAATACTAAAATTAACAATATTATTATTTTTCTTGTGGCAAGAATGCCCTTCCACCACAGCACACAAGTATTCTTAACACATTTAAAAAGAGTAAACATTAGTCTCCATTTCAAGAGAAAATTTCAAAATAACTGACTTTCAAAACAAGCCTTAACACATAAAGCAGCATTATAAAAGGAAAAAATGTGTAATTTAAATAAGTGATCTAAATATAAACCTAGAGAGAAGAAATACTTTATGAAGAGCCGTGACAATCCTCTGAATTATTCAAGCACAAGCTTGTTCTCAGAAATTGCGAAAATGATGCTTTAAAGGGGAACCGTCACTACTCTGGAAATTAAACCATTAAAATCACCTAAAACTCGTGTTCACCTTTTTTTCATGACATCAGATTTCTTGTAAATGGAATTCGGTTCAGTACTGAAGGAGAGATTGCAACAGGACGAGTAGCTCATTCTCCTGCATGAGGCTCCGTGAAGTAGACTGCGGCACTCGACTGTGCTAGTTGTATTTTACTGTTCATATTAATTTTGTCTGGGCTACCAGCCCTTGTGTGTGACCACCGAAAAACCATGATGCTCAGTCACTTTGATAATATCTATGACTCTGTAGTTTATATACAACTGTAAATAAATAAAAAAAATTAAAAAAATAATGATATGGAGTGGATGGAGGATTTTACATATACAAATGTACATGTTAACGATGTACGCATAGGACCTTGCAATCAAATATATTCATTCAGACAGGACTGTTCATTAAAGCAGGAGTTATGGTAAAATGGAAAGGAAATTTAAGCCTATATAGCCAGGCTGGACAAATCTCCAACTCTACAAGTTATGTGTGGAGCAGTGCATGCTGTATATTATAATAAAGAAGGGGCCGAAGAGTCTCCATCTTACCCTTCCAGGATGCGGCATGACTTCTCCTTCTGTCAAGTGCCTGGCATGCATGCCGCGTCAGGTACAGTAACCCACAGCAATGCTGACAGCCGCAGCCCGCAAGAGGACACCGACGGAGGTGGAATTTGGAGTCCCCTGGGCCCCCTCCTCAGTGTAGAAGCCAGCAGGGGCCCTCAGTATATATATATATATATATATATATATAGTTATTGGCATTTAAGGCTTGGTCACGATGGGCCCCATACAGCTATACTGGCTGTAACCTGTGTTATACTGTCGGATTTTCAGTTTACTACAGTTGGGTAATTAGTAAATATGCCCTAGAGTGTCACCAATCACCACTGATACTGGAGACGATATGTGTAATTAATAAGTGTAATAATTATGCCCTGTGTGTATTTTTGTGTAGAAATTTATAAAAGAAGAGCAATCACCATGGAAATCAATGGGAATTACTACACTTTTAGCGTGTTTAAAGCATTTGGAGGATCTCGCCGTAGTCTCAAGCTTTGCTATTTGCAAATAAACAAGGATCCCATGGGGGTTTTGCTTTAAAATTGCCCTTTTCTAAATATATCATGGAGGGAAAAAGATTATGTAAAGGAGAAAGGCTGCTCGGATACAAAGAACTCTTTCACTATGACAGTGTGGATACAATAAACAGTAAGAGGACAGACAATTAATGTGTGTCTCAATGTATGACACTTCCTACAATGTAACACACATTAGTCACACAGAGAAAATTGCATTTCTGTGGGTACTGAGGAAGCCAAATTCACTTCAATAGGAGATAACAGAAAAGTACTTGTAGTGAAAGTGGTTACAAAGATGCAGGACAAAGTGCTGGGCACTCCTGAGCCCCAATATATGGAGTGAAGCAGTTTGTCATTCTAAATAAACTGCTAGAACAAGATGGGAAAATATTACAATCAGTGAGAACTGTGAACGACTAGAGAATAACTCGCAACTGATAGGATGTAGTGCAAAGGTATTTATTTCCTAAACTAACAAATTGAAATCCAAGCAGCAAAATTCAGGTTACACTGATCAGCCACGACATTAAAACCACTGAACGGTGAAGTAAATAACATGGATTACATCGTTATAATGGAACCCGTCAAGGGGTGGGATATAATAGGTAGCAAGTGAATAGTCAGTTCTTGAATTTCATGTGTTGGAAGCAATAAAAATGGGAAGGCGAGAAGATCTGAGTGACTTTCACAAGGGCCAAATATTGATGGCTAGACGACTGGATCAGAGCAAGAAAACGACAAGTCTTATGGGGTGTTCCCACTATGCAGTGGTTAGTACCTACCAAAGGTAGTGCAAGGGAGGACAACCAGTGAACCAACATCTGGGTCTTGGATGCCCCATTTACTGACATGGGGAGCGAAGGATAGCCTGTCTGGTCCAATCACACAAAAGAGCTACTTGATGCCTGACTATTGCCGAAAGACCCTTCCTTGAGGACATGAACCTCAAAACTGGACCATGGAGCAGACGAAAAAGGTTGCATAGACTGATGAATTACATTTTCTTATAGATCAGGAGGATGGCCATGTGCTTGTGCATTGTTTACCTGCTCAAAAGATGGAAGCAGGATGCATTATGGGAAGAAGGCAGGCCAGCAGAGACAGTGTTATGCTCCGGGTTCTGCTGGGAAATCTTAGGAATTGGCATTCATGTGAATGCTACTTAGACATGTACCACCTACCTAGAGATTGTAGCAGACCACATACACCCCTTTATGGCAATAGTATTCATTGATGGCACTGACCTCTTTCAGCAGGGTAATGTACCCTGCCACACTGCAAAATTTGTTTAGGAATGGTTTGAGGAATATGACAGAGTTCAAGGTGTTGCCTTGGCCAATTTCTCCAGCTTGAACAACAAATCTGATCCATGGAGCCCCACCTCGCAACTTACAGGACTTAAAAGATCTGCTGCTTCTGTCTTGGTGCCAGATACCACAAGACAAGTTGAAAGGTCTTGTGTAGTCCATCCAGAGCTGTTTTGGATGCATAAATGGCAGAACTGTTTTGGCAACATTAAAACCACCTGCCTACACAATACTAGGCAGGTTGTTTTAATGTTCTGAGTGTGTATGACATGAGATAACTGGACACCTCTGTAAGATATACATGTATATTAGAAAATATCTGTAACTTTATTTGTTCAGAAGCATTTACGTTGTTGCACACCGCTGCTGTCAGAACTAGAACTCCAATAAATCATGGATAATTTCCTAAACAGTTAATCGAGGTAAATTGCAAAATTCAGTTTAAAATTGCATTGCCATGCCTATTCCTACTCAGCCCCTACTAAAATAGAGGAGATAATTCAGATTCATGATATAAATATAATTGAAAAGCGTTGTATTAGCAGAGCACTGTAAAGTGAGATAATAATGTAGTCTGGACCAATCCCTATTTTGGTCCCAAATCCATGTGCCCCTCTTTTCCCTATTGGTGGTGTGTAGGGTTGCCACCTATTGATGATAATTTACAAAATGAACTATATTTGTGTGACATCAGAGGCAACAACATCACCTGAATTTACGTAACTCATTGTCACTGTCTAAGTGTGTATATAACAATATGTACATAAGTGTGTCAGTGTCTATACTGTGACTTTGCGTGTGGCAGTGTGTGTCACTGTGTGTCTACGGTTTCTATGTGAGTGTTACTGTTTGTTTATGGCAATGTGTGTACCTGCCATGTATAATATAGAGGTGGGTATTCTGCAGTGGCGTAACTACTGGGGGGAAGGGTCGACAGCCCTTGGCGCAAAAATAGGGGGGAGGCTCTGCACGGGGCTGGCGGAAAGACGTCCCGCAAACTGAAGGGGACCATCGGTTGGCCCTTAGTGCCATCTTTGATCAGGGGCCTGGT